CTATTTGTCTGGGATTTTGAGACATCTGGAAGTCTGGGCAGCTCGCTAATGAGCATGCACTGATGAACTCTATGGCGCGCAGCGAGTCTGGCCCATCGGCAGAAACGTCAGCCCTCCGTGTGTGCTCCCAGGCCACGTCCCGTGAGTTCAGAACAGCACAGAGGCCTCCTGGCATGCCTGATCAGCCCTCACGGAGGACACGGATACAGCAGGGAGCCAGAGCCAGTTCACCCACAGTGCTGCGTCTCCCACAGTGCCTGTGTGTGTACAGATAGGTTTAAAATAGAATTTCTGACCTAGAAGTCCCTTACAAAAAGATGGTGTTCCCAATGTGTAAGTGAGCTAACCCTCCTCCTAATTTTAGAATGGTATGGGCCCAGAATTAGAAGAATGCTTTGCTGAAACTGCTCTATTTGCATCTGTAATGCTGCCTCCTTTACTAGCATTTATTGCTGACTGTCTTCTCAACTTCTTATTCTTCCATCCGACAGTGATCAATACTCTTTTCCTTGAATTAGCCAGTTTTTTGTTAATGGCCAGTGAAAAAAGGAAGGCAATGCAACTATTTCTCCAAAAGGAAAAAGCATTACCCGGAATGCATCAAGGAAATGTAATGAGAGATGATGGAGGAAAATAAGGGAAATATTTCCTCACAAGGAGGTTTTAAGTAGAGTCTGGCAATGATCTCCCAAAGGAAGTAGTGGAAGTCTGGTCACTTAAATCAATTAGGACTAACCAGAGCATCGCACTCCCCAGGACTCTGTAAGGAGAAAAGCAATGTCAAACTGAACTAAAATAGACTTTCCGTGCTTATTTTCTGCAGGCCTGCTGTCTGTGTTTTGCTGGTAAATTCAATATGGCTAATGCTGATTAACATCTCTTGATGGTGATCATATCATTGCATTGTTTCCAACCTGTTCCTCAGTAGCACACACTCACAAGGGCATGGCCGTACAAAACACATCCCCCAGCTCAGCTAGCTCAGTCTGAAAGACAAGAGGCAGGTAAAGGGCAGGAGAAGTTGTTTCCCCTCGCCTTAACAGTGGTCAGGCTTGTTATCACCACAATGCTGAATTGACAGAGACCTCCCTACTGCACAATGGGCACAGTGTACCTGTGACAGCACAGCAGAGGCAGGAGCTGCACGTGGACCTGGTCTCTTGGATTGCTGTAGAGCAAGGAGGTGTGCCAGGTGCCTTAGGGAGGGCTGCAGTGCCCGTGTCCTCTATGCTCTAGACAGTTCTAATGCATACGAGGCCAGCTGGGGACAGAAGCAAGAAAAATAAAGTGCTTTGCCCTTAGTCTTGGTGGGCTCTTTGGCATGCTCCAAGTACACCTAAGGGAAACAAACAAGTAAACATAAAAGAAATCAAGCCTCCAAGAAGCTAAGATCTTTGCCTTTCTCTCTGTGTGAGTATTGTTGTTTTATATGTATGCTTTACCTTTTCTCTGGCTGGTTTTCTAGTAGCCAGTCAATTCCATTTGAACAATAAAAATGGGAAGAAATTGGAATAAGGCAAAGGATTGAAAGGCACGGAAGTAGTGACTTGGCATATGAGCTTGGACAGGGTGCCCGGTGGAGGTTCCCACAAACTGACCTGCCTGGTAAACACTAATTTATACAGAAAATAAGGTTTAAAAGCAAACAACTCTTGGACATTTTATTTTCAATAGAGAAAAAAAAAAAACCCTGGGATTGTTGCTGGCATGAGTTTTGCCCATCTAACAAAGGCCTTTCTCACGTGTAAATGAAGACTGTTATAGCAGAGAAATTATCTCTTTCCTTCTGCAAGCATAGAGCAACTTATTTTCACTAACTTTTTTCACTGGGATGCATCAGTCAGATCAAATAATTTTTAAAGACTGTCCTTATCTCTTCCTAGAGAAATGCCTGTGTGGTGGTAGTACATGCAGCTTCAAAGCCTTTTCTTTCCCAACGTGCGGTGTTCATAGTCACGCTCCAGTGGCTCAGTTCCAGCCTTCCTGCCAGAATGCATCAGATGCAAGCAGTCCCAAAACCGGTGGGGCCGAGGCAGGGAACCTGCCACGGGAGCCGAATCAATATTTAGACAGCTTCAGGCAGCAGAGCTTGCGCTGGCTTTCACACTTGGCAGCAAGCTTTGCACCCATTTGTTTCCAAAGTTATTGTTTGTGCAGTTTCAAGAATTGGCACTAGAGAGATTTCCGCCTGAGGGCAATGACAAGTGCCGGGTGCTTGAAAAGAAACTTTCCCCCTTTGGATCTGAAGATTGTGAGAGTGAAGGTTGTGTCACTGGGTAATATCTCCAAAGGAAGTCAAGGCACACATTTGCTCGGAGTTTTCATCATCCTTCACATGAGGCGTCTGCTGGGCACCGTGGGGAGCCCACGGCACAGTCTCGTGCTCTGCTTCCGATACATCCAGCACAGAGCAGCTCTAACAGCTGCTTGCTGCTGTTTGTTATCCTGCTGATTTACCTGGAGCAAAAGCCTGTGTCAGCGTGGGAGACAGCCTTGCTGTGGGGTTGTATGAGTCAGCCCGAGGCTGTGCAGAGTGCCTGTGCTGGGGCGGCAGGCAGGCAGGCAGGCAGGTGAAACCCTGGCCCAGCACAGAAAATTATTCTAATTTGCTTTCCAGCCATTCCACCTAGTGGCCAAGTGACACCACTGCCAGGAGAGCTGTGTTTGTGCTCCACAGTCCCTGCAGACCTACGCTGCTGCCGAGCTTACAAGATATGCAGCAATATGTAAGCCCCCACACTGAAGATCTTACCATCAGCCTGCGAGTAGCTCATTAAGTTCCCGAGCAATTTTGTTAATCATGCTGCATAGATAAAATGCAGATAGGCCTTTAGTGAGCTGATAATCTAACAAATAGGCAGAAAGTGTAACACTGATAAAGCAGAGATTGGTTTAATAGCCAGCTGTAAATCTTGGCAATTCTGTACCAGAGGCGTATTGTTAAACAGGAATGTGCAAGTGTGTAAGTATGTGCATGAAAATGCACTGCTTCTTAAAATAGCAGATAGAGCAGTAATACTATGGATGGAATAGCTATTGGAAGCAATTTTAGAGGTGTTTTAAAATATTTTTCTCCCCATCAAAATCTGCACCACTTGTGGTGTCTTCATAAACTGCCATCATAAGTACAAATCTATGAATAACAAAGGCTTGTTTGTGGAAGTCAGGATTTTCTGTAAAATCTGTGAACTCTACCACTGGTCCTGAGGCAGTATAGGGCTTTATAGGCTTTTCATTGAGATGAACCAAATTATTCACTCAGATACACTCTAATCACAAATTAGACCTTTGCAAATTCATGGCCTGATGGCTTACCAGTCTTTTGAGCAGCTTCTTTGCTCGGTGGCATTAATTCAATTGGAAGAATAGTAAAAAGCAACTCACCTTCAGGATATCCCATACTGTCCCAAATATACCCTTCTGAAGAGCTGAGAAATGGGAGTTTCAATCCTCACAGCCTGGGGAAGGAAACGGGTCTCCTACTTTCTAGGTTCCCCTTCTGTCTTCAGGTCATTTTGCAAAAAAAAGGAGACAGCAGTGCTTCTGCTTCTTGTTTGTTTTAAACAAAGGAACTGAGCTGGGGATGCCTACCAGAGATATCTGCATCCAGAAGGAGGTGCATCCCAACCTCACACAGGCATGCAGGTGTTGGCTGTGCTGAATCCCATCCAGAGGCCTTTGCCTGATATGCAAAGCACAGGGAACTCAGACAAATGAGTGCTACTTGCAAGAAAGGCAAGAAGGTTTCTCAGTGAATTGAGACTGAAGGGACTTACAGGGTCATGCAGTAGGTGGTTGGTGCAATGGGAAATTGAGTTGTGGTCTTCCAAATCTCAACCTTGTGGCCAAAGCACTGAATTTTCTTGTGCAGAAACCTTAATCCTTGATGATGAGTTGTGGTTCTGAAGCAGCCTCTTGCTGCTTCATGAAGAATAATTTTTCCAACCCCTTCATTTCATACCCATTGAGAGAAAAAAATGTAAGAGAAGTTAGTGGCTGTCAAAGTATTTTGTCTAAAAATAGACAATATCTATAGTTTACTCTGTGGCTTAGCAACTTATTTGATAGCTGTATGTAAAGATACAGCTGTAAAAAATGGGGAGGGGGGAGAAGTGTGTATTTTTTAATATATGGTATGTTAATGTTAAACACAGATGGTATGGAAAGAAAAGATGAGTAGCAGTGCATAAGTCAGACCTGGAACAGTTTTCTGGAGATCACTCTCCTGGAAACAGTTTTTATGCTTTCTACAAAGAAAACTGTGGGAAATTAAGTACTGAGGTGGAACTCAGAATAATTTCTACCATTTGAACTATAAATATTAATTTCTTTTCTGTTAGCTGTACCTCAGGCTCACTAAAATTGGGAACAGTATGAGGAGAATAATCTCCATGGGATAAAGTAAAGTTATACAGTCTGTACTTACCTATCATGTATTCAGCAATGGTTTGCAAAAAAATTGAGAAGAAAAAAAGGAAATTGTTTGCTTTTGAAAGAGGCAGGAAGATGCTTTCTGTTGAATTTTGCTGTAATACTAAGTGTTTCCTTCCCAAAACGCTTTTTGGATAAATGGTATCTTAAGCTTGAAACCACTGTTCATTGGACCTTCCATCAGAGCAGAAGAATCAAAACTGAATTGGTGCTTTCATGGTTGGATGCTGTAGCACAGTTAAAATTAAATCCATGTAAGACTTAGCAGTGTCCAGGCTAGTTTTGTCAGTCTTTTATTAGGGCACAGACTTAGTTCATAGGTTGTCAAGATACTTGGGAAAAACAGTCTCAGTTCAACCTGTACAGTGATGTACAGGAGCAGCGCAAAGGGAGCAGTGCTAGTTCCTGGGTGTAGCATCATTGCAGGTGTGACAGAAGAACAGCTGGTGCTGAGCACTATTTATTTCTGAATGCCAGATCTGTTAGTTTATCTAACCACCTGATGAAGGACTTGGGATGACAGCAAGAGCTGATGGTAACGCTGGCAATTTTGCTCTCTATTTTTGCAGGTCACTGTCAGGGGATTTGGTCCATTGCTACAGTTCGCCTACACTGCTAAGCTGTTACTCAGCAGAGAAAACATCCAGGAGGTCATCCACTGCGCTGAGTTCCTGCGCATGCACAACCTGGAGGACTCCTGCTTCAGCTTCCTTCAGACACAGCTGCTGAACAACGAAGATGGCCTGTTCCTTTGCAAAAAAGATACCACCTGTCAGCGCATGCACGATGAGGAGAACTCCGATGGAGATGAGGAGGAGACGATGGAATCGGAGACGTCAAAAATATCTTGCCCAAGGGAGAGGATGCACCAAGAACCCTTCAGTTTTGAAACCACTGTTGCTGGAGCAGACAAAGGCGAAGGGATGCTGCCTGACTCTGACATGCTGAGAGATAGCAAGGACAATTTGGATAAAGATGCAGTAACACGGTACCCCAGATACAAGAAATACCAGCTTGCTTGTACCAAGAATGTCTACAACACATCACACATCAGTACCTCAGGTTTTGCAAGCACATTCAGTGAAGAGAGCTCTGGAAATGGCCTCAAATCAGGACTTGCTATGGGGCAGATAAAAAGTGAGCCTCAGAATGAAGAGAACGATGAAGAAAGCATCACACTTTGCCTGTCTGGAGATGAACCTGACATCAGGGATAAAGAAGGGGATGTTGAAATGGACAGGAAACAGCCAAGCCTCACTTGTGTCGACAGGCCAAAAAGTGGGTCTTCTCCTTCTTGCTTGCGGTCTTTCTTCAACAGAACAAAAAGCATAGATTTGGTTGGCTTCCCCAGCACTTCCCAACAGCACTTTGGCAGGAGTCCAGCATGCCCTTTTGAAAAAGGGACAACTCAGGGTGACCACAAAACTGATTATGTCCCTTTCACAGGGAACTATGGACAGTCCCATGCCATGCAGAAGGATGCTTCCAACTTCACAGTGGGATCACCACTCAGGGGGCCCGGCTTTGAAACTCTCTGTAAGCAAGAAGGGGAACTGGACAGGAGGAGTGTTATATTCTCTTCAAATGCTTGTGACCAAGTAAACACTTCGGTGCATTCATATTCTGGTGTGAGCAGCTTGGACAAAGACCTCACTGAGACTGTGCCAAAGGGTCTGTGGGCTGGCAGTAGCCAGTCTCTCCCCAGCTCCCAGACCTATTCGCACAGCGGACTGACAGCTGATCACTTGCCGGGACGGATGCGGCCGAACACCAGCTGTCCGGTGCCAATTAAAGTTTGCCCTCGCTCTCCTCCTCTGGAAACCAGAACCAGGACCTCCAGCTCGTGCTCTTCCTACTCGTACGCAGAGGACGGCAGTGGTGGCTCTCCCTGCAGCCTGCGGCTTTGCGAGCTCTCCTCTTCCCCTTGCTCCCAAGGCCCCCGATTCCTGGCTCCCGAGCACCAGGAGCCCGGCGTGGTGGGGGATGGATTGTACAACCCGGTCCGAGCCCAGATTAAATGTGAGCCATCCTATGGAACAAACTCCAGCGATGAGTCTGGGTCATTCTCAGAAGCAGACAGTGAATCATGTCCTGTGCAAGACAGAGGGCATGAGGTAGGGATTTAAGATAAGTACATATATCACAGTTGTTATGACCCAATTAATCTCTCCTTGATTCTCTCAAATGACTTTGCATTTCCCCTGCACTTTCTTTGTTTATAAGGGCAAAGAGTAACTTCTGGTTATTCCCTCATCAGCTGAGTGCACATGGTTGATTTCACATTAATAGGTCTGCTTGATCTCCAAGCTGTTTGGCACTTCTAAAAATTCTGGTATAGGAAAACAGCAAATTGCTGAAAGATGAGAGATCATTGATGTGCTTAGGAGTTTGCCAGCAGTGTCCTGTCTTCCTCCCTCACCCACTTCTGTGGCACAAAGCGCTGCTCCTTATTCTTAATTTGCTGAGGTGGTTCCAGGTCCATTTGTTACTGCTGTAGGTGTGTTTGAGCAACCTCAAGCTGTTCCTTTCCTGACACCAAGGGTTGGGCAGCTTGCTTGAAGAGCCAGGCTGCATGTTGCCAGCAGAGGAGTGAAATTACTCAAACAATTGTATAGCTGGCCACACTGTGCTGTGGGAATGGCATTCCCAAAGTAATCTTTGCACATGTGTGTGCATGTGTGTGTTGCACATTCAGGTACTGGGTTTTGCTTCTATTATGTGACAACTTGAGATGATGTTCCCTGCCTGTGACATTTTGTTCAGATCTCTAGCAGCCATGGCACGAATGGTTTCAGAGAGAAGTTATCTTTAATTTCCAGGATTGTTAAGGGAATGATGAGAGAATGATCTGGGGCTGAAGAGCAAGCCATCAATTTCCATGTAGCTCTCCCAAGAGGGGGAGGAGAAAGAGGGGGCCTCTCTAAAACTAGAGATGAAGGTGCTGCAGTGATAACTGGCTAACCATGACCAAATAAACTGTCTGGGTGAAGTCACTACTTTAAGGGCAGACTTCAATCAAGGAGATGTGTTGTGGAGCCCAGAAAGTGGAAAAGACTGGATGTTTATTGACAGAGTTTTGTTGGGAATCTGCATGACCCAGAGAACATCTGGGTGAAATCACGTATCAGGTTCCTCTAGTAATGCTGAAAAACTCCACTGAGAGCTTTTGCTTCAGTGTGGGGAGCAATAAGTGCTCATATGCTGAGAGGAGGGTTCATACGTGGAGAGCTCCCAGTTCAGAACCATGTGGGCTTAGTTATGGAGTGGGGATGAAAAGAGTGAAATTTATTCTATCCCTCAGTCTTTATTCTGGCTACGTCCCAGGCTTTATTTTTCAGACAGATGTGGGTGCTTCCTTTAGTTGGCTGCTTAGCTTTCAGAAAGGGCTGAAGAGCCAGGTGAGCCTCTGGTCACACTGGACCAGTGATTCTGAGAGAACAGTTCTTCGTCCTCATGTCGTAAGCAGGGGACAATGCAGAAGGGAGAGGAGTCTCTTTAGGAGGCTGTCTGGGATAGTGTGCAGGAGATCTCATTTGGGAAGCCCTACAGCAGCCCAGGCCATAGCTGGTTACTCAGTGAAGTCCTGCCTTTACAAGGGGCAGAGGGCAGCAGGGACCAGGGACCATTCATTTCCACCCATGTGTGCTGCTTGCTCAGCATGAGGCAGCAGAGAGGGCAGGGGTTAGCCTTTTGAGATTTGATAATTAATTAGCTGTCATAATTACCTAATTGTGTGAAAATGTGCCGCAGCAAAAATGAGCCTGGAAGAGTGAAATTAGAAGCTTACAGGGGACTGGTGGTGGTTTCCTAGAAAAAAGGTATGTGCATATGTGCAGGAGAGCATGGATAAGAGGAGGGATATACAAGGAGCAAACAGGCAGCTACAGGAGGCTGTCTGGGTGTGCTGCAGGCAGGCAGACATCTGGCTCTGAGAGTGCTAGGAAAGGTTTGCTCCACTCCTGGTTTTGCTTCTGGTTTCCTCTGGGGAAGATTTTCTGTACTGTGCTGAGCAAGTTTCCTCCCTGGGACTGCTGATAAGGCTTTTTTTTTCTTTTTTTTTTTTTTTTTTTTTTTTTTTTTTCCCCAGGGTATTTTGATTAGGACTACTAGGCATTAAAAATGTGGTGAGGAAATTAATGCTCCGTGAGGTTGCACTGCACTATCCTGAACAAGCCAAGGGTAAACAGATCACACAGTGCTTTGGTAGAGATTCTGTTTAAAAATTGATTTTTTGAAGGTTGTTACCAATACAAGAGCAGACTTTGCAGCCTCATTAAACAATACTGTATTAATGCAGTGACTTCGGGTGTGTATCCGGCAAGATCTGCTGCTGTGGAAACCTCAGTAAAGGGTATCTTAAACCAGACAGTAGAAAATAAGCAACAGCAGCAGGAAGTTCTTGTATAAGTTGCTCTACCTGCTTTTAGCAGTTTGGCTGTGAATAAAACAGCAGGAGAGACTCACAACTGTCTGAAATGGACAGCTTTCTGTTCTTCACCTCCCTGCAAGCTGCATGGGAATCTTTCTCCATTCCTGAAATTGTTGCTTTGCCCTTCCTGTCCTGATGACTTCACAGACAGGACCCTTTCCCCCTCCATATCAGAACACACAGTGTTTTCTGGGCTTCTATTCAAAAAGCACCTGATAAGATATCTGGGGGTGACATGCTTGACCTTCTGGAGAGAGGCCATGCAGGTTCTGCTGCAGGTCAGCTTTTATTGGGGTGGGATGGCCTGATGGGAATAAGCCTGGTGGACTCTGACCATCAGTTATCTCACAGGGCTGCTCAGTTCCCCTGGAATTTGGACCTAGTTGGTCTTAATTTGGCTCACAGAGTGATGTCAGTGCCAGAATTAGTGTCACAAAACATCATTTGCTGGGGTATTGATTGTGTGAGAAGTAGGTGAGAGGCTTCTCTCTGCTTTGTTCAGGCATTCTGCTTTCCCACAGACAGATGCCATTCCAGAGCACGTGGCCAAAGTTGTTTGGTGCCAGAAGTGGGGTGCTGGGGTTCAGCATGATGCCCTGTGGGTAAAGGTGACCCCACCTTGTGATGAGCCTCCATCTCATTGTGGGTGCAGAAGGCAGTCAAAACTGTCAGAGGAGGTGGCAGTCCTTGGAATACCACTGGTAAATCTTCTCCAGGATGTCCTTGCTTATTGCTTCCCTTCCTGGAGCCACCAAGACTCTTCTGCGATCTCCCTTTGTTAAGGCTTCCTGACAGAAGCAGCAAGTGCAGTGTAGGGTGTACCCATGGTACAGAGCTGCAGGAACAGGGCTGCAACTTGAGCTATTGGGACTTCACAGAAATATTTACCAGTTTGTGTTGCTGTTTTCACTCAGTTCTCTCAGGTCTCCACAGGTTGTGAAAAAATCAATCTGAGATATAATATTAGAGAGAAGACTTACAGCTCAGAGCTTACAGGCAGGTTCTGACAATCCTGCTAAAAATAGCAACAACAAAACAATAAGCCCTGAAATAATGAATTGTTGAGAAGGAAGTAGTCTGTCAATCTGTTAACCTACTTAAGGAACAGAAACTTCTGCACTACCTACTTTTCTTGGCATTCCTTTTCTTCAGCAAGTACTTCAGAGGTTTTATCTGCTAGAAAATTTGTAAAAGATATTGTACTACTAAAGCAGTTAAAAAGAAATCTCATCTCAGTCTAATATGATAAGTGAGTTTTCTGAGGAAAAAAATAAACAAGGATAAGAGGAGGTAAGAGGTGGAGTTTTCCAAGAACTATTACTATCTAGAGAGTTGCATTCAGTGTCTCCTCATGTGTATTTCAAAAGAATTTCCCACCTGGATTGGTGACTTACTTTTCAAAGGAAATTTTCATAAAGGGAAAGCTAATGCAATTAGACCTTTGAGGGTATTGTAGGTAAATAACTTTCAGCAAGAGTCCAAACCCCTCCCTGTTAAGTGACAGGCAGCCATCCTTTCTCTGTTCATCTGCTGGTGCTTAGCAAAATACTGCAAGTCAGAGCCCCAGAAAAGAGGAGTAAACCAAAGCTGCTCTACCAGAAATCTTCTGTAACTATGCTGAGTTACCTCATCTGAGACTGCTTCACTGCTTAATATTCCTGCTCAGTGAAGAATGTTATGTGGAAAGAAGGGCAACTGAGAAAAATACATATGAAGGCTTTCAGTTGCTGTGGTATGTGATACCTCCCCAGAATGTGATGATCAGTCACCCCAGCTTTCCTGATTTTGCTAGGTTTGCAAATTTGAAAATGAGAAAAATTAGTCTCCAGATTGATTTCTGGTAGATGTTCTCTTGACTAGGATGGCATCAGCAGTGCACTGGGAATTGTTTCTCAATGTCTGTTTAAATGGTGTCTTGTCAAACATTGCTCTTGTAAGATAAACTTCATGGAAGTTCTGTTTTCTTTCCTCTCTTCAGGAGCAATGGTCTCCATATTGGTAGCAAAGAATTGCTGGAATACAACAACACTGAGAGTTTGAAATTTCGGAAGGTCCTTTTAAACACTATATGATTTCGCGGAGCCCTACAACCAATTATTTTATCCTCTGCTCTGAAGACCTTGTAGGAGCTCTTGAAGGATTCCAGTTCTTGAGCTGCAGAAGCAACTCTTTCAGAGAAATACTGTACTCTGTCCCCTGTCATTTCACTGCCTGATCTTCCACTCTTAAGTGCACCTGTGGCTTCTGTCAGTGTTTCTGTGCTATCCCTGGTCTCAGAGAAGCCTGTTAAATGGCAGGAGTACCATACTGTTGTGCCCTTTGAAGGGCTGGAAGCTGGGGACACTGCAAGCAGTGAATAGGAAAAGGTCAGCCCAGCATTCTAAGTACCATCAGTGTGTGGTCTGAATACAAGTCCAAATCATGAGCTAAAGGATGAGAATCCCATCCACATCTCCTGATTACTGGGTTCAAGCACTCAGCCGTGGGATTAACCTGGTCCCCCACTTCTGTGAGGCAGGTAGCAAATCAACAGGTTACCCATGCTGCCTCCACAGCAGTGCCCTCTCAGGCAGCATTTGCTGACCCAAACACCTCTCATGGCCCTCACAAGGGGAAGCTGGAGTTGACCCCACGCCACTACAGGGCCATCAGTTGTCTTGAGTCAGATGGAACACATTGCAGTGGAACCTGCTGATCTGAAGTGGGACAATTTAGACCCTGGTTTGTTGACACAATGGTAGATCTTCACTGCCTGGGCTCATCATTCCCCTTTTGCAGTCCTCTGCCATCTTGTATAGTTGATACCTGGAAAAAGGAGGTGTTTTGAAGGCTTTAGCTGTGCCAGTAAACAGCAGGATGAGAAAATGCATCTTGGCTATCCCTTATACAAAGGGATTACACAAAAGCCCATTACCTTTGTGCTCCTTAGATAGCCTCTGTCCAGGTGAGATCAGGACAGGAATAGGTCCCTAGTCTGTAGGACCACAAGTGGTGCCTGAAATACCCTGAAGACAATTGAGCCCCTATCACAGGTGGACACTCCTCAGCTTCTATACTGGAATGAATTTCTTCCTGAGTGTTTGTGGAAGACAGACTCGCATGCTAAGGAAGATACTTGAAAACACAACATTAATGCCTTGGGCTCTTTTGTGTGAAGCCAAGTACCCATTTCTGCATTAAAAAAAGGGTATTAATATGATTGAGCCCCTGGGCTGGATCGCTCGGGTGGATCCTGAGAGCCTTCCGAGGAGTCAGCAAGTGTGAGTGTCAGAGGCTTTCAGGATTTGAGGGCACTAAGGCAGCAGGTTTTGTTCTTACAGCTCTGGAGCAACTGACCAGCTGGTACAATGTGTTCCACCTTCCCATGCCCACTACATAATGGTTGCATTTTCTTATGGATAATATATTTGTCCTTTAAGTTACTGTAATGTTAAAGTGACACTTGGGAAGTTCATTGCCTTTACTAACACTTGGGTAGGGTGAGATGATGTCTTAATTAAGATATAAAGAAAGAATGAAGAAGCTAAGGTTACTCATAGGATAAAGACATTCCCAAGAGTTAACATTTTATATTTTAATGGGAGTGAATACAGGTCCTCGGTTCTTTCCTTTATTCCAGGTAAAAGAGAGAGGGGGGAGAGCAGCAGCAGTAACTAGTACAATAGATGGGCAGAACAGCAGTAACTGGCATATGATCCAAGCTGGCACTGACTAGTGAAGCTTGAAGGAATTAATTGGTTATATATGGGCCTTGCATGTGCTGAGTCAGTCGCTGTCCCTGTCTGCCTACATCACTGCTCTGACTTAACCTCTCAAAGCACTAAATTTCCACTGGCATCCTAATGCTGATAAGGGGGGGAAATGCCGCAAAATCCTAACCAGGTTTCCTTTTTCCCCTGGGTGGATTGGCAGAGTTGGAGCAGTAGAGTCTGCAGTGGTGGTAGCAGGTGCTAGTTCATTTGTTGTGTGGTGGAAAGCAAGCTTGTTCTACTGGTGTAAAAATGCAGGGAAAGAGTAATTGTGCTGATAAGGGAGGATTTTGGAGCTCTGTGAGGTTAGCTTTGGCTGGAGTAACTCCTGGAAGGAGCAGGGATCCCACTTATATTTTTAATTTGAAATAGTTTGAACCAAAAAATCCTAGTAATTAGAAAGAAAACTTTACAAGAAAGCATACTTGTTTTGGTTTTGTTTCATATTTTAGAAAAGATTGGCTGTCTTTCTCAGACACCTCAGGTAAGTTTCTCTCACCTCCCATAGATACTGTAAGATGCAGAATCTTTTCTGAGTCTTAAATCCACTCCTTCTGCAGCCAGAAGGAGGGAGAAGCCGTGCAGCATTGCCATCTGAAGGGAGCAGGACACTAGGTAGTCCCAGCCCATCATTTCAGGCGGCTCTGGGTGAGTCACATGAATCCCACCCACTGCACAGTTGCAGGCTCTAGCAAAATGACTCACCACTCTGTTATGATAAATAGCAGCTGAGAATCTTGCCCTGTGCAGATGTAAAACACTTTAGCCTCTCACTGCAGCAACACCCCGGTGCAGTTATTCACTGTGTCCGTGCCAAAAGCTTGGTGGGTTGGTATTTTTTTTTTTTTCCAGTTGACAGCTGATTTCTAAGAGGGAGACAGGCAATAAAAATGCTGTGAATGGTGAAGGAAATGAGTCTGACTCACTTCCACTTTCCCTTTCACATTTTTAATCCTGTGCAGTGCTGCCTGTGACAGGAGTGGGATTATGCTGGGATTACTGATAGCAGTCTCTGATCTGCTGTGTAGATGGTTTTATTTTCAATCCTTTTTTTTTTTTAATGAATCTTTTTTATTTATTTTTCCATTTCTTTTCAGCAACTTCTACCTGACCTATTTAAATTGCTTCTCTTTCATTCCCATTCCAGCTGCAAGCACTTCTCCTCCTTGCAAGTAAATATGTTTTGAAAGGGAGAGGTAGGGAGAAAAAAAGTTAACATTGCTTTCCATTTGGTCTTAAGAAAATAAGGAAAAACTGTGAACATGAAAGGGCTGGTTTTGCCGTGAAACTGTGGTATCTTTCAGAGGAAGGCACTGGCTGTTTTCATTTTCAGACCCTGGTAGAAGCTTGAGAAAAAAGCAGGTGACACTGAGTTTATATTAACCATCCAAAGGCTCGGGAGGGGAAATCAAACAGGTTTCATGCCATTAACTGGCAGTCTGTAAACAAGGTAGTTCACATCGCTGTGCCTAAGGTCAGCCTTTGTGTGTACAAGCAAGAATTTGGGAGGGTTTGGGCAGCGTTTGGCATTCCTTGCTGCTTTAAATTGACCTGTCAAGTAGTGTGTTATGGAGCAGTGCCTGGACACATGGGGCAGAGGGGCATGAATGAACATTCAGGGCATGAAACCGTCTGAAAGGATGTGGTGGGTGTTTGCATGGAACTTCATGTACCCCAGGCTTGGCAATGCACAGAGCAGTGTTAGAAGGATACAAGAAAACACCCAGAACACCCCTAAACAAGGTGAGGAGCTGGTTACTGCAGGTTCAGGTGCCTGGTGAGGGTCCACAGCTGACAATGCCAGAGGCCACTGCTGTGTGTTGGTGTACCTGTGTCCTCAGCAAACTGTTCTGCTTAAATAACTCAGCTCTCTGAAGAAGATAACTGATAATCCATGTTGTTACTTTCTTTATTTCCAAGTAATTATTAAGTGCACTATTTGAGGACAATACATGTTTTAAATATTAAAGGAATGTTTTCAGCCCATATATTTCATTTGGCTGGAGCAACTTACCTTTTTGATAACCTGTGTGCAGAATAGTCTCCTTGTTCCAGAGGTTAGATTGTACCAAATAGGGACAGAAACATAAATATTTACTGCCATCTTTTGGGCAGTGTGGGTATGACTCAAAAAAAGAAGGGGTCGATCGAATTACTCTGCATCTCCTTCGGCTTTGCCAGCTGACTCTTGTCTGACCACCAAATACAACAGTTGGCTGAAGAACATCAGTTTTTTAATAGTTATCAGTCCGAGGCTCTAAGTGAAGCAAGGTTTCTAAGGGGAGATGCTTACCTTGATTTGAGCAAGCTGATAGATTTTGGGCAAAAAAACCTAAAAGGCTTTGAGCACATCCACCATTCTTCAGCTTTTGACACAGTGTGTGTTCATTGCTTCAGACTGCTGGGAGGTTTGTGTTTTTCTCTGCTTTAATGCATAATTGCTAGGCTTCTTGAAGTCAAACCCTGACCTTTTCAAGAAATACAATTTCAGTGTTCTTTAGTCTCCAAGAATATTAGAGTGTCAACATATATGGGTTTATTTTTAAATGTATATATTTTAGCAAGATAGGATATGTTGCATCACACTCCTCTGACCCTTTCTTCTTACACAGTGTATTGCTCAGCTGAAATGCTGATTAGATGACCTTTCCTAATTGCAATACATTCTTTTTCATCCACTTGAGGTGTCAGGTTGTATTTTTAACCTCATATTTAATCAAACTTTCAGTCCTGCAGTCTAAGTAGATGTACATTTCCTGCTGTGGTAATAGCCCATTCCTTGAAACTAGTTTGAATATAATAGCAGTAAGGTACTTCACTCTTTCCAAAAGGCTGTGACTCTTAGTGGACAAAACTTTCTTTTAATGCAATGAGATAATTTATTAAGGCTTTGTAGAAAGATGAAATTTTTATTTGGGATTCATATGTGTTGCTGATTTAAGTACGATTCTCATCTTATCCTTACCATCTGGACCTCCACAATGTGCCACAAGGGAAGAACTTACTCAATGTAAAACTTGGTTTGTTGTTTATTGAGGGGGTGGCAGCAAAGATAATCATCCTTCCACTCACTGTTGTTCAGCTTGCATTGAGCAGGCAAAATATGACTCTTTGCTCTTGTCTTGTGTTTGTTTTAGGTGAAACTTCCTTTTCCTGTTGATCAAATCACAGATCTTCCAAGGAATGATTTCCAGATGATGATAAAGATGCACAAGCTAACCTCAGAGCAGCTCGAGTTCATCCACGACGTCCGCCGGCGCAGCAAGAACCGGATTGCAGCTCAGCGCTGCCGCAAGAGGAAACTGGACTGTATTCAGAACCTCGAATGTGAAATCCGCAAGTTGGTGAGTCCCGTGCCCTCGCCACAGCCCAGCTCACCCTCACTGGAGCCTGCAGGGCACCAACAGCAATTCCTGTCCAGACTTCAGTGGTCAGTTTGCACACTGATGAGCAGAATGCACGGTAGACAGTGCCGCCACATTTTAATGTAAGGGGGTGAGGTGACTGGAGCAAGGCCAAGTGGCTGCTCAGAAAATTCCTCTCACTTTCAGTCATGCTTTGGACACCTCAGGTGGGGTTTGTTGTGCTTCATTTTGCTTTGTTCTCTGCTCAAGCTGTAGGAAACATCATGTGAAAGAGGCAGGGATCTGTTGGAAGAAGCTGAGTTACCACCACCTCACAAATGGCAGAAAGCCACATGGCTTTGGGTTACTCACTTTCTGCCTGTGCCTGTCTGCTTCCCGTCTGTGACAGGGAGGTGACACTGACCTCACAAGCTGGTTGGGAGGCTTAAATCATCAAGGCTTGTGAAGCCTTCAGATGCTGTGCTGCTGAAGCCCTGGGGGGAAAAAAAAAGAAAAATCAAAACATTGTTCAGAGTAGTGCTCCACTGATGCAAAACAAACAACACAACAAAGATAAACAAAATAGTGAGCAACTGCTTCCTGCACTGAGTATAGTGCACAGTGTGTACAGGGTGAGTCAGAGGTTCTGCAAGTGAAAGAGTGGATGGATCCTCATCAGGTTGTCAGAAGAAGCAGGTGCAGTCTTAGCTGCTGCACATGCCTGTCACTCTGCACTGAGCTGGTGATGGGGAGGAGTTCCTGTCTCTCACTCTCCAGAGACTCAGGAGGAGCACTCTGAAGGCTGGACTAGCAGCATTACTAGCAGATTCAGCCTTATACCTGTAGCCTTCACTTGAAAATTAGTTTGAGTTAATTGATTTGTGCAACCCTCTGACATTTCCATTATTGTCTGATATGGTAAACTGCATACAGACAAAATAAAAATTTTAAGTCCTCTCCCCAGCACAAACACACATCTCAGGGGAATGAATGAAAGGCATATGAGTGGCCTTGTGGGCTTGATCCCTGCTCAGTTTGAGGAATCAAAAACCATTTGAGGTGCAGGATTCTTCCCCAAAAAAAGTTGACATTTCTATTTAGCAAAGGGGACTTGAATTCATGTGGCAATATGCAGTGAGTGAGCCAAGGGAAGGCACCCCACTGGACCTGTTTGCAAACAGTGAGGGGCTGGTGGGTGAAGTGATGGCTGGATGCCTTCTTGGGCACAGTGATCACAAAATAATGGAGTTTTTGGTTGCTGGAGAACTAAGTAGGAGGGTCAGCAGAACTGCCACCTTGGACTTCCAGAATGCAGACTTTGGCCTGTTTAGGAGACTGGTTGGGAAAATCCCTTAGGAGGCAGTACTGAAGGGCAGAGGAGTCCAGGAAGGTTGGGCATTCTTCAGGAAGTAAATCTTGCAGGAACAAGAGCAGGCTGATCCCATGTGCCAAAATATGAGACACTGGAGAAGACCAGCCTGGCTGAACAGGGAATTTCGGCTGGAACTCAAGTGAAAAATTGAGGTTATTTTCTTTGGAAGAAGGGACAGCTACTCGGGAGGACTACAAGCATATTGTGAAGTTATGTAGGGAGAAAACTAGAAGGGTAAAAGTCCAACTAGAACTTAATCAGGCTACTGCTGTAAATGACAATAAAAAACTTTTTTTAAACAGACAAGCAACAAAAGGAAGGACAAGGAGAATCTCCATTCTTTATTGAATGCAGTAAAAACATAGCAACAGAGAAGGAGCAGCAGGCTGAGGTACTTAATGCCTTCTTTGCCTCAATCTTACTCAGTAGTAAGACTGGTTGTTCTCCGGGTACCCAGCCCCCTGAGCTAGAAGACAGGGACGGGGAAAAGAATAAACACAACACATGGCCACTGGAAATTCCTTTGTTATCTTCTGTCCACTTTGTGATCAGCAGTTTCCAGTCTCATGAACTATATGAGACTGTGATTTAATGGTTTTTCACTAGGCTGGGTCTTTTTTATGAAAGACCCCTTTTCCCCCTGTAGTTATTGTAAGTCACCCATCTTCTTGACACAGATGGTTTCACAACAGACAGTGAGTGAAATGGTTGTATCCTCAGAGTTTGATAGGTAATTTTTTTGCCTGCTTTCTCTCACTCATTCATCTACCCACTCACATTCCCTTTTTTCCCTGCAAACTCGCAGCATATTCTCCTCCATAATTCATCATCTCAAGATGTACTTGAGCATCTGTTTATTTTTTTATTATTTTTATGCTTTCTTGATAGATTTATCAATATTTTAGCAGTTAGTTCTTTTCATGTGCACTGCTCTCTTTCGCATTCACACAGCTGTATGCTTCCAGTGTGGGCTCTGGACCCAGGGCAATACTATCGGCTGTCAACAACCACCCATAGCTGGATTATCTGAGTTGTGGAGCTTTCACACCTCAGATGCTGAGACATCTTTGGTTTAGCAGTGTTACTAGGTGAGATATACGTGGCTGCGCTGCTTTTGGGGCCAGCTCAGCTCTGGAAATAGTTCTGGTACTCTACAAAATCTCATCTTCTCTCTCGAGCTGTGTGCCCACCTGCCTGAGACAGAAGGAGATGCAGCAGGACCATCCCAGTCAGTCTACACTGAGTCAACACTGTTTTTTAGAGGTGAAATCCTAGGCTGGGTTCATAAAAATATCTGTATTAGATCAAGCCCAAGCCATTAAGCACCAGAACATAAGAAAACAAGCCATGGTGCAGGCCACAGAGCACACTTAGATCCTCTCTTCTGAATAAACTCACCTCTCTCAGTGGTAATGGAGCTCCAGAGGGTGCACCCAGCCTAAGCGGCCAACCTGACAGTTCAAGGGTGAACCAAACATCAGCTGCTTATCCTCACTTCAGGAATTAACCTGTTTTCTTGCTGATTAGGTGGGAAATGCCACTTCTCCCTCAAAATGTTTTGTTCAGTTTTTTTACATCATCTGTCGGGCAGCCTTAGTTTATAAAGGGAACAGTTCTGTGGGAATAACTTGGAATTCTCTTCCAGTTCAAATATTTTTCTCCAGATATTTCCCAAACTGCTGTCCACACAGGCCATGGTGGTCAAATACTTGATGTCTTTGACTTTTCCTCTGGCCATGTGAAAACAGGAGTGACACATTGGTGTTCTTGAGTACTGCTGCGTATGTGCCCAAAGTGAACAGGCAGTGGATGTCCCTTCCTCAGCCTAAGATGCCTTCTTTCTTTTTCAGGTGTGTGAGAAGGAGAAATTGCTCTCAGAAAGGAACCAGCTGAAAGCGAGCATGGGAGAATTGCTAGACAACTTCTCGTGTCTTTCCCAAGAAGTGTGTAGAGACATGCAGAGCCCGGAACAGATCCAAGCCCTCCACCGATACTGCCCCGTTCTCAGACCCATGGATCTACAGCCGGTCACCACCATCAGCCCCGCCCCAGCTGGTGTGGAGCAGAGCCTGGTGACCTCCCAGTGCGTCGGGGAGAGCATGCAGTGCTGCTCAGAGCAAGGCTCAGTGCAGCTGGGGGCACCCTGGCTGCCCAACAACATCTCGGAAAATTGTTCGGCCGGCGCGGGATTGGATGGAGCCGATGCAGGTACTTACCCCGAGAGAGAGCTTCCACCAGAGCAGAGCAGCCAAACAGTCACGGTAGACTTCTGTCAGGAAATGACTGATAAATGTACAACAGATGAGCAACCTAGGAAAGATTACACCTAGTGACTCGTAACCTTAACGTTACACCTGGTCAGGTGTTCTTCAGTCAGCCAGTGGCAGTGTTCATTTGTTGTCTAGAAGAACGTATTTGGTGCACACTACAGTGGTCTTAGCAGCAATACTGTTTTTAAGTATTCCCTCCTCTCTACAAGCAGGAGTTCTCTTCACAATGGTGCTATCCCTTGCTCAGGCAGGGAACGAAGCAGTGGCAACACTGTCTGTTTTTGTATGTTGATTTCAATCTTAACAGGGATGGACATAACACCTCTGAGGACCCAACCGCAGCTTTTTTCTCAGTGGCCCATGTCACAAAACCCTAACTCAGGAATTTCCTCTGAATGTTCAATTTTTCATTGAAGACAGCTTCTTTACACATCAAAGTTTTATAGCTAAACTGTACATATTATATATAATATATATAAAATATATATATCCATATGCAAGAGTCCCTGCATGCCTCAATTTTCTCATCCTACAAACTGGAAGCTTTCATTTCTATTGTACAAACAAGTTCCAACATTCCTTTTTGTCTTTGATGCTAGAACTAGTTTGGTAACTTGTTACACGATAATTTTTTCCTCAGTTCGCAGTTCAGCAATAGCATTCAATTTGTACTTATTTATAAAGTGTCGGAAACTTATTTGAGATTTTATTATAGACAATTTTTTTTGGCACAGCCATTTCGTGCCACTTGAGCAATGTGGAGTTATTTTATTTTCTTGCAGATACTGTACAGTAATGGTCAACTTTGCCACTTGCACTGAGTTTCTGGTCAAACCTCTTTTCATAAATGAAGTCATGACTTCAGAATAACTTGAGTATATGGTTTTCTTTGCTTTATGGCTTAAAGGAAATAGAAAATTTTTATCTAATAGACAAACACTCAGGAGCTCATTATGTAGTAAAAACAGTCTTGCCAAATACTGAATTCACTATACAATTTGTAAAGAGAATCTGCTTGAATTATTTTTATATTTAGACTTCTTTCTGTTTCACAAACCAAGTTTAAGTGCTGTTAATGATGCTTTTGGAGTCTTATAGGGGAAAGTATATTTCACTCTTTAGAGAAAAGTGTATTTGACAACTGGATCAATTCATCAAATGTTCCACGAAGTAAAGCAAACAGAGATCACGTCAATATACCTGGGGGCTTTTTCTCCAGCCCCACTCTGCATCCTTTACTCATGGAAGCAACTGCTGCTCCGGCTAGTCCCCAGAGCCTGACCTCAGCTGTCCTCAGACGTTACCTGTTCTCCCCACCAGACCCAAGTTGCAGAGGTGGGTCTGGTGAAGTCAGTGACCCTGCCTAGGCAGGCAGAGTTGCAGGATCATACCCCTAGTTGTTGACTTTGGCTTCCTTAAGGAAGTCCAGCTAGCACTGTATCCTCTAAGAGCAAAACATACGTTTGCCAACACCCAATTTGGTCACGTACCCATCAAATTGTTGTGTTCCGGGATCCTCACATCCTGCAGCATTGCCCTCAGCACAAACTGCAGCTAAAAAAGCGCTGTCTCAAAGGAGACTACTCAGTGAATTGGCTTAGTTGTGACTGTATTGGACTTGTATCTTAATGTTGACTCATGTTATGACTGTGTGAGACAGCAGCTTTCCAAGCATAACATCTGTATGTACAGTATAGACAGAAGAACAACCTCCTAATGCTTTTTTTAATAATTATTACTATTCTAAGTGTACTGAGTTTTTATTTTGTGGTTCTTTGCCCTATGTGTGCCAGGTTGTGTGGCTTTATCGACGACAACTGTCATGTGCTTTATTGGCTGATATTGTTTGTTCTCACTGAGAAAAAAATGACCAGCTGTTCACACCTGTTTAAAAAAAAAAAAAGTGTGGGGAAGCAGCTTCTCAGAAGCACTAAGTGATAATGCGTTCTTCTGTGCTAACGTTTACACTAGAGGTGTGCGCTGGTGGTTTTTTGAGGCACTCAAGTAGATCAGCATCTTGAACCCTGGAGGAGGAATCAGCTCCCTCTCTCCACTTTCTTCCATCTTCAGACTGTGCTCATGGACTGTCGCCCACTCGCCACAAAGTCTTGCTTTTATCCTCCTCATGCAAACTATTGTAATTGTAGCCAAGCTACTGAGGAGGAACTGCATATAGCATGTGCCATGTTTGCTGAAAATACTTTTTTTCCCCGCATGTACAAAGAAAACTAGTATATAATGTAGGAGAATATTTATGTTTAGGTATTAATCATTACTGTACAAAATCCTTACCTTTAAATGTTCAAAAATATACAAATGCCATAAACTCCTAGTTCACACGGTTGAAAAAGGGGGAGGAGTTGTCCTTTCTTTTTAAAAGAGCTTAACCTTAAAAATATCTGAACCCCCTCCCAACCATCCTTTGCAGGTAACTTCACTGAGAAGCTCTTTGGTGGGGGGGTGGGATTTGATTTTCCTTTGAATTCGTTGACGTTGCAAAGCAGTTCTGTGCTTCGCAGAGAAGTTTTGTTTCTATGAGACCATGGTGAAAGCTAGAATTTAAAACTAAATGTGAATCACATTATAGAGTCATAGCTACTTGGGGGGTTGGGGGTGGACGGGAGGGAAGGGTCAACTGACACAGTATTTTAAAGATGTTTTTCTGTTGCCTTTTTTATTTTTAAGTGACCTCCTATATATATATGAATAGATAGAATGTTTTATGAGTATAAAACCAAGTTTTAACTTGCTTCCTGACATGAAGATTTACTCTACTAACAACTCATGTGCAACTGGTACTCTTGACCTCATTCCAACGGTTTAAAAAACCCACCCACACAACCCATTGCGCTGCAGCTCTTAGGTTTGACCTGGCCTCATACTGGTGCTGGGTCCCTTGATTTCCTCTACCTTGGGAACTGATATTTAAAACCACTGCTCAAATAAGTGTCTCTTCCTCAACCTTTCTCTCGTCTCTCTCTTTCCCTCCCCTGCAAGCTTTTCTGGATGTTTGATTTCATTCTTTCCCATTAGAAGTGGCTGATTTTGTGTCATTGCTTCCTATATTTACATGTATCATGGTTTTTCAGTGGGGTTTTTTTGGTGATGGTGGTGGTTGTTTTTTGTTTCTATTTTGTTTTGAGGTTTTTTTGCTATTTTGAACCATGTGGCTTTCAAAGCAGTTACTGGGCTAACATTTAAAGGAAGATACTGGGAGAATTAGTTTCAGACTTGGACGTCAGTTTACATACCCAACTGTTCTTGTCTCACGAGGTCAAACCAAATGACCACAAAACATCATTGGAAAGATGATGATTTTTTTTTTTTCCCAAAAAAAAAAAATCTGACTGCAGAATTCTAAGAGCTTGGCCAGTGGTCACTGTGATCTTAAGAATCTCTTTGCATTTGCCAAAGAGGATACATGCAGCATCTCTCCTGCTGGACGTTGCTTGGGAATGGCATGGTGAGACCTCATCTCCCCGCTGAGCACTGCTCTGCTCCCATGGACATGTGAGTCCTTGGAGCTCTGTCCAGTCTGTATCTAGTCCTTCTTTTCCTCTGCCATTGCTATACTTGTATTACCAGGAAACCTCATTTCATTTAGGCTTGTTATGCTTTGTCAGGTGAGTACTACACTATATAATGTGTTTGTTTCTCTGCGTTCTCTGGGGGTGCCTTGAACACAATTAAAGCTCATTGCAAGCTGATTCTGGAACAAAAAGGTAGTGAAAAAATAAATTTAAAAAAAAAGGAGTGAAAACAAAACATAAAACAAGCAAAACAAAAGCAAAAATGTTGGCTGTATTATCAGGAGATCCCAGTATTTATATCACTGACTTCCTAACATGATGACTCAGGCGTCAAGAGTTTGATGCTGCAGTATAAAACTATTATTTTATATATTGTACAAGTAATTTATTAAATGTCTTTCTAAGGGTATATGCTGCTTTTAAGATGCACTATATTTTTGGATCTAATCCCTGTATTATTTTTTTTCCCAAGGAAGTAAAATGTGCTGCAAAAGCAAGCCACAGTGATTAGTATGCTAACTGCTACTTCTCTTTAAAAAGCAGAGTGGGAATGAGATACGTAACTTTGCTAAGTGGATTAACTCCTGCCAGAGAAATGATTAATGCTGATACTGTGGTTGTTAATCTGGAGTGTGACACTTCATCATGTCTGTATCCTAAAGAGTGCTTAAATAGAAGTTAAAATGCCTAGATATATAGTTAATTTTTTTTTAATATGTGACTTCATGATTGCCTAGTAAATAAAACAAATCTGCATGCTGGAATCACTATAATCCTGTAATAAAATGAAAACTGATCTACTAGGAGAAAGCATGGTGAAGCATTGCAATTCCAGAATCAACACCACATCCTCATCTGTGTCTTGTAATCCACTGCTGTGGTGGTGAAGAGAGAGCAAGGGGTGCGTTCGCAGAATAGGAGACCCATAGTGAATTCTGCAGTGAGACAAAGTGGACATTTGCCAGGTTTCCACAGGCTCACATTTTGCTCCACTTCACATCCTCTACCATTGCAACAAGGAGTGCTGCTTCCACCTTTTCTTTCCCTGATCTGAGATGCTTTTGAAGGTACCTCTGGGTGAATGTTGTAGCCCATGGCTACAGCATTTTAAAAGTCTCTATTTTAGGGCTTCCTTGAGAAGTTTTAGCTCAGTATGAGCAACGGCTTTGCATAAGGGAGGGGATCTGCGAAGTATGGAGCAGTTTTATTTTTATCAGAAGTGAAACGCAAACTATTAACATAAAGAATTTCTGCTCTCTTTCCTGTTAAAAATTTTCTCAACAGATTTTGACTTCATTTCAGTTTTGTTTCTGCCAACACAGTCCAAGTTAATTTTGCATCCATATATAAAATACGTGTATGTATGTATGTATGTATACATACATCTATAATTCTAGTCAGAGTGTGTGTTTGTGTATTTTCCTGTTTATAATACATATATGTATATTTATAATACTCCCTGGAGTATTTTATGACTCAGGCATCAGGTCTGATGCTGTAGAATACAATATATGTGTATATGCATATGTTCAAATACTGTGTGTATATTTAAAAATCTATTGTTGGTGGTCTGTAGAATAATTATTCCCTTTACTCTCAAAATTTTAATGGCATTACTTGCAAAGTTTAAGTGTACAGTATTTTCCTACACTCCACCAAGATAGGTATTATTTATATCGAAGTCAATTATTGATGAGCATTTTAAGGTATTACATGAATAATATTGACATTTTTGCAAACAAAATCACTTTTTGGCAGGAAGGAATGCTAAAAATATCTTTTTATAAGCTTATTACCCCAACCAAATGACTGCTTGAAAGCCAGTTAGATGACTCCTGTTCTTGTGCAAACTTAAGTGACTGTGGGCAGAGCCCTTGCCATAACTGAAAGTCACTGTGTGGTTCATGCAGTGCCACTGTTGTCCCTTTTGGCTAATTAAGGGCATGCAGAAAGAAACTAACATCCCAAAATAGAAATGGAAACTGGCAGTGTTTGATTTCATTGATTGCTTAGAAGCAGAGATGGTCCCAGGCTACGAACCCAAACGACCCCCCCATCTCTGGAGGGAGCCAGGCGGGGGCTGCAGGGGATGGTGGGCTGATCCAGAGGAGCCCATGCTCTGGGATGTGGGCAGAGGATGGAGCAGCTTCCCCGTGCTGGGGGTTGTGGCTGGCACCCCCTGCCCAGGCCGGTGGCCCCCTGCAGCGGGGATGTAGCGAGAGGAATGTGCACGGTTTCAGTCCTGTTCTCACTGCTGCGTTTGCTCTGCCTGAAGCTCTCTGGATCCCTCAGAGCAGCAGGAATGATACTAAACACTTTGGTGATATTCGGTGCGTGGTTGTTTACTCCAAGTTGCAAGCATCACCTTTGATTTCGAGGGTGAGGATGCCCTAAGAGTTTGTTCCAGAACCAGTTGGTTACAAGTGCACCTCTTATATATGCCTTACAAACTTCAGAGGCCATATTCAAAACAGGGTTTTATCAGTGTATGCAAGGGGTGCAACCCCTCTTCTCTTCCTCCCCAGGTCAAACAGTATGGACAGTTTTCACACATATCTACCTGTATAACCCTCTGTACCTCTCATAACTGGTCAATGACTGTAACAGGTTACATCAGGTGTTTTTTCTACATACTTTTTACACAAATTCTATGCGATTAATGTAACTTAATTCAATGCATCATTTTATTGTACTAGTTCTTAAGCTTGTCTTTATTTTTTTTTTCTAGGTGACTGTGGTTTCTTGTGATTTTTATTGTATAAATAAATGAGGTGGCTGTTGATGCTTACTCTCTGTTACTAAGAATTTTTACCTTTTTGGAAGAAAGCATTGCTATGAACTAATGAATTTAAAATGTCATTTACTCATTGTAAATACAGTATTGTGCAAAAAAACAAAAATGAAAAAAAACCACCCAACCCTTTTCATTCATTTGAATTGCTAGTGTTAACTGAATTTTGTCTAGACACCATTTCTGTTGATGAAATAAAGACATATCATTATGTATTGTAAATCGTCTCATCGTGGCTCTGAAATCGATGTTGGGGGGCTCGGTTAGCATGCGGGTTGCAGGTGAGATACAGGAGGGTGGGTTGGAAGCAGTTGTTTCTGCCAGGTGAATCTCTGAACTAATGAAGATACTTCTACTCACGTGGTCCCACTGCTAATTCACTAGCAGTCTTTGATCCAGGGATCCAAGTTACCTTTGATCTGCAGGAACAGCCCAGGGTGTTCCGTTGCAAACATGAAATAAGTTTTTTTGGAAGATCAAATAAGCTGTATCTATACTCGTTCCCCTAGTGCATGACTTAAGGCAGTTCTGCTCAGTCTTTGTTTTGGTCTTCTAGAGCGCCAGTGTACTTGTTGGAAGGTAAGGGAAGAGGCTGAGGGTTGTTTCCCCTTTAAGGAAAACCTGAGAGAAACTGAGAGAAGTTTTTGTAGAAACAAAACATAGCCAAAAAATCTCTATAGTATTCCTGAAAGAGGAAACTTGTGCCATGGACCATTAGCAGGAAAGCCGGAAAGGAAAGAAGAAGTTGCAACAGCTTTAGATGCTATTTGCCACAAGCAGGACGTGGGGTCCAGCGGGGAGGTGTTTGTGCTGTGGGAGTCCCACATCTGCTGCCTCTCTCCTTGTGTCGGATGCAAGCTGGGAGCCTGCCCAGCAGCTTGGCAGGAGGAGCCCAGGGAGGGGGGAATGGCGTGACCAGTTATCCTGCCCTGGCCCACTCACTTGCTGGGATGACACTCTTTGGCGTGGGGAGGAGGTCAGGCTGCTGAGGGAGGTCCCCAGGCTTTTTTATCACCAGACAGAAGACCTTTGATCGTGTTCCCTTGGCCGCCAACCTTAGCATCTTCCTGTTGAGCATATATGAAGAAGGCTTCCCATCCCACCAAATCTGTCAAGAGGAGGCATCCACCACGTCTACACAGCCTGGCAGTAGACAGAGTGTGTTAGCAAATCTGTTTCTACGTCCCTCAGTTGTTGCTGGCATTTAATGGCCACCATTTCAAGTATTTATTTTCTTTTTTCTTTTTTTTTCCCCTTAAAATACTGAATAAATGCACAGGCAAATTGTCAGTGAGTTCCTAGTGAGGCAGAATATGAATATAAATAATGTGCTCTTGAAAGAAACCAAAACACTACAATCTTTATGCCTGAGTTATTTTCCTGCAGTCCTGCTTCCTGCTGGCCTTGCATTAGAGTTGTCAAGTCATGGAGGATTTTTATGCACAGGGAAAGCTGCAAAGCAAACAAACTTGTTCCAAGCATCACTCCCCGCTGAGAAGATAGCAAATGTGAACTGTGATAAGCTTGGCAAATAAAAGCAGCTTTAAGTATGTGGCCAGAAACAGGACCAGGGACAGTCAGAAGAGAGGCTTTATTTTCCAGGTACAGCAGTGGAAGAGCTGCTTCCTTGGGTTGCATACAACCCAGAAAGCCAACCCTCTGGTGCTAGGCTGTACTAGCAAACTGGAACGAGCTCTTTTTGGCTCTGCTTGTCTTTTGGTTCTTCTGTATGAATTAATGAGACTGTGAAGGAAGTATGATTTTCATGACCACAACATGATCTTCTCAAGCAGCAAACTGGAAAGTATAGATGTTTTGCACTTAAAATGAATTGTCTGATATCACTTAGTTTCAATTTTGAATCCAAAAGCATTAGCTAAGAGGAGGCTACATTATCATGGAAAGGCTCTATCAGAGTTTGAGGACTGCATTAGCACAAGCAGAAAAGCCACAGGTATTCTTCAGCTGTTTTTTTCTCTCTTTAATTTTCTGTCCTTTCAGATTCCATGAGTGTTTCCTCTGTCTTTTTATTCATCAGCTGCTGAAGTCTGGAGAGATTGAGGCCACATAGCCTTCCAGGTTACTTTCAAATCAAGCTTTTCCTTTCTTGTCGGTGCCTTGGGTCTTAGGCTACCTTGAAGTTCTGTGGATCAGGCTGGTTTCTGATATGAACACCACTAGCATGCACAACAAGTTGTACATCCCAAAGCGCTCCCCAAAGACACAAGGCTGTTTCTGCAGTGGCAGCACACACTGACAAGATCCAGCTCAGTCTACGTGAGAGAAATCTTGAATCGTGGAGCGAGCTACCCAGTAACACCAGCAGTCAGACTACAGCTCAGCTGGGATTGGCATGAAATGCAGGCATAAAGTGTTTGCTTTTTTAAACTGTATTATCAATTTAGCATTATAGCAGTGGGAGAGGGAAACATAACAACAGAAAATCTGCTTTTCATCTCTCTGCTGAAGGCAGTTTGTACTCAGTCCCTTAGTTTGTTTCTTCTCCTTAGAATGTCCTTACTTTTTCATGATGGATGATAGTTCTAGGAGCATGCTCTGAAAGATAACAAGAGAAAGAAAGCACTGAACTGAATTGGCTTAAAGGAGAAAAATAAATGCTACCATAGTAATTAACCCCAGCACATACATCGTTAAGGGAATCTGATGATTAGCTGACAACATACTTACCTTGTAGGGCTATGCTAACAGGGGGAGTGAGAAGAGGGGAAATACCTTGATTTTAAACCAAAATAAATACATGAATGCAGGTCGAGGGAGGTAATTCTCTCTTTCTACTCAGCTCCTCTGAGACCTCACCTGGAGTGCTGCATCCAGCTCTGGGACCCCAATATAAGAATGTCATGGACCTGCTGGAGCAAGTCCAGAGGAGGGCCATGAGGATGGTGAGAGGGGTTGGGACACCTGTCCTATGAAGACAGGCTGAGTTAGGGTTGTTCAGCCTGGAGAAGCAAAGGCTTCAGGGAGACCTTACAGCACCTGCCAGTACCTAAAGTGGGCCTACAGCAAAGTTGTAGAAGGATGTTAGCAAGGGCATGTAGTGACAGGACAAAGGGTAATGGCTTTAAACTGAAATAGGTTTAGATTGGGTATTAGGAAGAAATTCTTTACTGTGAGGGTGATAAGGCACTGGAAAAGGTTGCCCTGAGCTATTGTGGATGCACCATCCCTGCAGGTGTTCAAGGCCAAGCAACGTGGCCTTGAACAACATGGTTTAGTGGAAGGGATGGGCACCCATCCCTGCCCATGGGTGTGGGAGTTGGAACTGGATGATCTTTAAGGTCCTTTTAAACCAAAATCATTCTGATTCTGTAATTCTGTGATTTAGTAATTTGTTTGAAATCCTTGCACCCACTGTAGTAGCTCTTCCTGTACCTAGTAAGGGGGTTTGTTGAATTCTTTTTGAATTCTTTAAAACCTTACAAAGATGGACTCAATTAAACAAGTTCCACTTTCTAAAATCCAGCTTATTAGTTTGTTGCTGCACAGATCCTCAGAGGGGTTAATTAGTGTTCAACTGCTGCTGACACCCAAAGTTCATCTGTGTTTGTGCAAGTGGTGAACAGTTACCTTTGGGTGGCCAAGGCCTTTTGCAGGATAATTGGAACACTTGCTGTCATCACCACAAGTTTCTTCTGAGTGCTCCAGGGCAGAATAAAATACAAGTACTCTGGGATTTATTTCTTTTTTTAAAGAGGTGTTTACACTGAAAAACTGTACAAAACTAGCAGTAGTTACCAGCAGGTGTAGATGTGCGTACCTTTAAGGATTCTCAAAAATCCTAGAGGAACACAGGGTTTTGCCAGTCCCTTTCCCCACCTGCAGATTTTCTTGGTAGAGCTCAGCTGTATAAACAACTCCTCCATGGTTATCAGGTTTGTTATTTCAATGTACATTCAGTCTTATCAAGCTGTTGCAGCCCCAGAAGCAAGAGCAGGTGAGCAGCTAGTTAAATGAGTGGGTATTTATTCCTTACACGATGTTGAAAGGTTGAGCAAACACGCCCTGTTCTGAAGAAGATGGCAAGCACTCATGCTGAACAGCAGCTTTCTCTCCCCGATCCTGCTCACTATGGAGTGTTTTCCCAGTGGGTAAGAGGCTCAAAGCTGAATGGAGAATTGTGAAGTAGGAAAAAATTGAACAGCATGGAGGAATAAAAAGCAGTGCAATGAGGGAAACCAAACCTAGTGAATTGTAAAATTTTCACAACTTTGACAGAACCAGGATTTCAGCCCTAGAGACTTTCTTCTCTGCAAAAGAATAAAATCAGCAGCCCTATCTCACACTAATTCTGCAATCTGAGAGTACCAGTGTCACCATCTTTTTCATTGTTAATTTTATTCCCTTCATTCACCACAAGAAGGGAGTCTTGCTTTTAAAGATACATTGGTTACTTTGTAGCCAAAAATACAGATTTATTTAAATGACGCTGTGAAAGCACAGGACACTGGAGGAGTGGATGGGGAAGATACGCAGCACTTCTTGAAAAACAAAAGTCTAGAATGCCTAAAATGCCTAAGATTTCTTTATGAAAGTCTTGATCTAGTCATTTTGGTTGCTAAGATCATTATACATCCTCTAATGATTTCCAGGTTTTTTTTTTAATTTAGGAACTTATCATGGCTCCATGAAGAAACACAAACATTAGATAATGTCAAGCCCCCCCATCTTCTTGGAATACCCTTAAGTACTCTAAAAAGAGCACGAGCACAGTAGTTCTCAATGCAGGTTTAGGCACGGGTTGCAAATATAATTTGTTCCAAGTCATCTGAAAGTTGGTGCCTTTGTGAAGAGAGTTGCCAATCTAGTGTAAATACTCACAGTTCCAGTCAACTAAATTAAAACTCCTAGGTTTTAGAGCACAGCATAGAATTTTTTAGAAAACTATCAAATAGGTAAAGACCAAAAAGAACTGATGCTGGACGTCCTGCTCAGGTAGCATGGAACTGGAATCCTCTGCTTTAGAAAGGCAGGAAACACAGCTAGCAAAGACTTCAAATGCAGCTAGCAATGAAATACCAGACAGCCTCCAGCTTTTGTAGAAATGATTGCATTCAGCTATTGAATTGGGAAGATATTGTGACACTCTGAAGATGGAAAATCAGGCTGTGGTCATCTCAGCTGAGCTTTCTGATCATTCTGAAATCGTTCCCTGGTTTGCAGAAAATGGGTGAGGAGGAAGACTGCTTGATTCTGGCAAACGGTGCCTTTGGAAGTAAAGCTGCCGTCTTCTCTAATTGTTCATGTGGAGTGCTCAGATCTGTTTTTCATGCCCCCAGAGATAAGAAGAGAGTTATTTGGTGGTCCTGATGGCTTGACACAGTCTTGCATGTGGGTGCTGGGAGACAATACCCCTCAGTGCAATGCTCCAAGAGCCAGGTGCTTCATTCCTGGCCCTGCCTATTTTCAAGAGAGCACAAGTTGTATCTGTGCTTGTTATAAACTGATCTTTGACTGCATCAGTCTATTAATCTTATCAGGCTTAAGCATGTATTATCCACCAGTCAAGATCCTGACTGGTGCAAATTATGAGGTCTTTTCTCATAATATAATTCATGTGCAGAGTCCTGTGGACAGCAGCATAATTCCTACACACCTTTGTGGGTCCCTCTCCTGGCTGTCAGCTATGATTATGGATATACTAAGTTCAGTGAAGCTTTTTTCACTCAGTTGTGTATGAAAAGCTGCCATTTAAGACCTGCTTCACCTAATGGAGTCTGGCAGCCTGGAACCATGCAGAAGATGCCCATTTGCTCCATAGCTGTATCTCCCCTTAAATAAAAGTTAAAATGTGGTTGAGTGATGCAAATCTTAGGGCAGAACTATGTGTGTAGCCATAATATCTCTTAGAAGATAAAATACTGTTTATTCTCTAAGATGTATCCTCTAAGTGAGCCTTGAAAATTATTCACTTGGAGACAGTTATCAGTGAACAAATTGTTTTCTGTCACTTCAAAGCATGCTGACTGTGGTCCACAGGACCAAGGTTTTGGAGATGTGCAAACAGTCTGATTTCAGCTGTACACAGTTGCTGGATTCCCCTGTCAGTGTAGAGTTTTGCAACATTATGTCGAGATTAGCTCATCCGTATAGTCAGCAATGCTCTTGTCATTGTGTTTAGGTGGAATGAAATCAGCTGGAAATAACCCTCATGTCATGCATGGATTCTCCACCTTTGCTTTGCCATGTGCTTGAAGGTCCCGTTTTGGTGGTCTGTCTTCAGAATCTAATAAACCTAAAGCTTGACCAGCAGTGGCTAAAAAAAAGGTTTGGTTTTTTTTTTTTCCCAATGGATCTTTAGTCAAATAAATTTTTTAGGTTTTCTGTCTCTCACTCTGGCTTCCTGGTCTGAATAATTATTAACTTTGGATAATACCACATGAAAGAAATTGAACAGAACATGAAGAGTGAGTGGTTTGGGTGTAAAACTAAACAGTTGCAATGTAAATATTTTGTCAGGGGTTTATGCTGCAGTCGGATGTGAAACAAGAAAATGGCTCCTCATCTCCACCAATTCCAGGTAAGGAAGTTTTAAACAGCCTTCTAGTTTGTAGCCAAACATGGTCGGTCTGTATAAATCCTACCAATGGGAAGGGCATTTATTCTTTTTTATATCTAGAGCTGGTCTGTTTTGAACTGAAGTCTGGAAAAGCTGAGGAATCCTGATAGCCAAACGTGCATTTTGTAATCAGTGTCTTACTGTGTTGTTTCATAGGGGCTTTCAGTGAAGAATTAAATGCATTCTCTCCTAAGGGTCCAAAATAACCATTCCTCCAAAGAGGAAGGCCCAAGACAAATTTCCTGTGCTCTTTGAGACATGCAGTTCTGTACTTATGAAAAATATCCCATTATATGACCCAGCCAATTACTATCCAACAGCTGGGGTTCATAATTTCACAGGGTCCAACACATAATGAGAAGTAACTTTTAACACATTTATTTGTTCCTAACTATTATTATTTGCTTGTTAGATTCAGTTTTGGTGTGGAAATGGCATTGATAATACTGGTCAGAAAAAAGCTCATCACTGGTTGAAGGTCAAGCATCCATAAACTGTACCCTTAGACTTGCTCAGTGCTTCCAGTGCCACAACTCACGGAGTGCAGTTGACTTGTCAGAAGACTCTTGCACTATCAGATGGATGGATTTTGTGTAACTTTGAGGGTTTCCTTCAGCTAGGGAGAAAACTATGGTGTTTGTGGGCAGCTGCAGCTGTCCTGCTGTCTTAGCACAGAACACGGGTATGTGTTTGGTTGGAGGCTGCTGGAATGGTTATTGAGCTGTAGAAAGTGATCTTTTCAATGTTGAGTTGATACTCCTCTCTCATTGAATCTAATACAAAGAATGCTACAGACAGATTCCAGCAGAATGGTGTGGAGGAGGGGGAAAAAGAAAAAAACTTAAACCAGTGTGGAACTAAAGATGGTAATTTGGGAAATTTATCAAAGAAAATTGAAGAACAGTGTCAATTCTGCTTTTAGGCTACCCAATTCAGATTAGTAAAATCCAGGTTAGAACAGACTGTATTTTGGCTGTTTAGATTATGTTTGTGCATGTGGATTCACTGTTATGTTAAGAAGTGTCTGTACTTTCTCTGCATTACTGTTGCAAGTCACTGTTAATCAGGGATGGCAGTAGGCAATGCTTTTGTATGCTTCATTTGGATTTTTTTTAACATAGCTACTTTTAAGTACTTTTTTAAAAAAATATGATCAGTAGGTTTTGAATCTAATCATACACATTTTTCTTTTATCTAAACATTACCTCTCCTGTGAGGAAAGGCTGAGAAAGTTGGGGTTGTTCAGTCTGGAGAAGGGTCCAGGGTGATCTAACAGTGGCCTTCCAGTAAGCAAAAGGGAGCTGACAAGAGAGCTGGAGAGGGACTGTTAGCAAGGGCATGTAGTGATGGCACAAGGGGGAATGGCTTTAAACTGAAAGAGAGTAGGTTTAGTAGGAAGAAATTCTTTACTGCGAGGGTGGTGAGGTGCTGGAACTGGTTGCCCAGAGAAGTTGTGAATGCCTCATCTCTGGAAGTGTTTGAGGCCAGGTTTGATGGGACTTGTGGCAACCTGGTTTAGTGGAAGGTGTCCCTTGGCAAGGTGAGATGATCTTTAAGATCCCTTCCAACCCAAATAATTCTGTGATTCTATCATTAATACTGTGATTCTCATCTTCAGGAAATCAGTATTAAAACAAATCAAACCAATGCTGAGCGCCTTTCACCAAATTAAATAGTTAATACAGGAATTGAGGAATACAGACTGGAAGAGTATTCAAGTTTTAATGCCCGGGTTCAACATACTTGTGATGCACCAGGATATTTGTGTATTGAAATCAGTATTCCTAAAAATGCTGCAGCAGTGACAGAATAAAGTGCATTTGCCAAAACCTTGCTTCAGTTGTATTAAGAAGCACCTGTACTTTTAAATATTGCATGCTGTAAGCAGGAAGCACCAGGTAGCATACCTACATCAGTCACATTTTAAAATGCTAGCACATGTCCTACACATAATGATCTCCAAAGACAGCATGCTAGGAGAGTGTTACTTTCAAAAGTAATGGCATTGTTTTGCAAACCGACTGTATTTCTCTGAAGGTCTCCCCTGGAAGGTAGAATCATTGTCATTACATAGGAAAAGCTGCCAAGCAACTTCTGTGAGTTCTCAAGAGAGTGCTGCTGAAATTCTGTCTTGCTTTGAATAACTTTCTGCACTTCACCTTTTTAAAGAGCCTTCCATCTGAGTATCAAAAGCCAGCAGATCAACAGATTAGGCTCTAGGCCCTCTCCCTGTGTTAGAAAGATTGAAGTGGAAAGTGGTTAAATTGCACCTAAGTGACAATTTAAGGTGGCTTACTCTGACTGGCTTACTGTAGGAACTGTAATCCCATGGAAACTGAAACTCAAACAATTTTTGAGCAGTGTAACAGGGCCTTGTGTTTCTTACCAGAAAAGGTTTGAAGTTTGTTGGTTTTGTTTGTTTTGTATATAGGAAAAAAAAAGGGCAGGGAGACAGTGTTTAGGAAGAGTGAGGAAAAAAATTGAACAGAATCTATGACTTTGAGCATTGTGTGAAGTAATCTTGTTTATTACATACCCTATAAAAAGGTATTTATGGGCTTGCTACTGCAAGCGATTGTAAAGGAGCCTCTGTGCTCTCAAAGAACCAAACCTGTGATCTGAGGCCACCAGAATTCTCTTTTATGAAATCCTTGTTGACTCTTGAATGCAAGCACTGTATCTTGCCAATATTGTGACTGTAAGCAAGCCTAGAGCATGTGGCCAAAGAAAAGGAAGGGATGCTGAAGAAGCAATTCTGTAGTCGTTGGCTCTGGCATTGCAATTATTTGTTGGGGGTTTTTACATGTAGATCTTTTAATTTGTTCATTGAACAATTATTCGACTTGGAGGTCACCTCTGAGACAAACCTGAAACTGAGAGAAGTTATGTCATTGAATTCAATGCATTCTTGGCTTCTCTTTCTTACACTGGCTGGAGCTGAAGAAGTTTTCCCTGGGACAATCCTCGTCGAGTTGATTGGGATGATGGAATGAGTATAAAGAAGCTGGGATTCGGTGATTTAGAGCTCCTTGGGACTCAGTAATTCCCTGGTATTCCTGCTTTCACGGCAGAAGGATGCCGAGCGTTTGGGAGCTTGGCTTTGTCCGGGGGGCCGCGAGGCGCTGGGGCTGCGTTGGAAGTCCTGCCCGAGCCGTTCCGCCCCCTGGCTCTCCCCCTCCTCCCCAGGGCCGGCCCCGGGTGCCGCTGCCCCCCGCCGCCCCCCTCCCGCGGGCTGTCCCGGGCGCTACTTGCCATGGACACGCGGCGTCCCGAGGCGGCGGCCGGCGGGCTGGGCGCGCCCTCCTCGCGGCGCTTCCCCTCCGAGCCGGAGCCGGAGCCGGAGCCGGGGCCGAGGCGGGGGCCGGAGCCGCCGCGGGAGGCGGTGCTCTCGCTGTCGCTGCCCGCCCGGCTCCCGGTGAGGACGCGGGAGAGGAAGCTGGACTTGCGGGTGCCGGGGCAGTGCCCGCTGTCCGGGGAGTCGCCGCGCTCCTCATCCAGATCCCGGCAGGCGCTCACCCGGCTCTGCCTGCGGGGCGCCCGGCGGGCGGCGGCGGCCGCCCCCGCCGCGCCTCCTCGCTGCTGGAGGAGGGCGGCTGCTGCTGTCCGTGGTGCCGGCGGCGCGGCGGCGGCGTTCCCCGGAGCTGCCCGCGGTGCTGCCGGGCCGGCGGTGCCGCGGGGGCGCCGGGCGCGGGCGGCGGGAGCGGCGCGGGCGCGGGGCGCGGCGGGGACGCGTTGCTGGCCAGGCAGGGCGGCGGAGGCACCACCGAGCTCTTCTTGGAGTTGTACACGCTGGGGTCCTCCTCGGACGGGCCCGCCGGCCACAGCGGCTGGCCGCACAGGCTCTTCTGGATCTTCTTGATGCCCAGGTGGGCGATTTCGAGGATGTTGAGGAAGAGGGAGACGGCGGCGATGCTGTTCATGAAAACCATAAAGATGGTCTTCTCTGTGGGTCGGGACACAAAACAATCCACCGTGTTAGGGCAAGGGGGCCGAGTGCACTTGTAAAGGGGAGACATGTGAAACCCGTACAAAAGATACTGACCTATCATAAAGCCCACTTCGACCACCGACCGGGTCAGGATATGTAGGACATAGGTGCGCAGCAGGGACCCTCTCAAGGGTGCCTTATTCACTTTCTTCTGTTCCTCCAGCTTACGCAGTTCTCTCTCCACTCTCCTGTGCTCCTCGAGCATGGGCTCCAGGTCCTCGAGCTGAGCCCGCAGGTGGGCTTTCCTGTTCTGTCGCTCTTTCTCCAGCGCCCTTAACCTGTAGAGCGCATGGCCCATGTACACTAAGGATGGGGAGGAGACAAATATGATCTGCAGTACCCAGTATCTGATCAAAGAAATGGGGAAGGCTTTGTCGTAACAGATGTTGTTGCAGCCAGGTTGCTCTGTGTTGCAGATGAACTCGGACTGCTCATCATCCCAGACATCTTCAGCAGCCACTCCCAGCACCAGCATCCGGAATATGAACAGGATTGTGAGCCAGATTTTGCCAACTATGGTGGAGTGGATGTGCACTTCTTCAAGGATGCTGCCCAACAAGTTCCAGTCCCCCATGGTCAGAAGTTCATTTCTGGGGGGGAAAAAAAAATTATTTTCCTGCAATGATGGATTTCTTTTGGAAATGGACATTTTTAGTTTTTGTTGGTTTTTTTGTTGTTTGTTTTTTGGGGTTTTTTTTTAGTAACTTTAATATATGTGTTTCAGATCCATTCTTCTGGTAGCTGGAGAGCTCTTAGAAGTTCATCATTACTTTCTACTTACTGAGCCTTTAAATTAATTCAAACTTCATGATTACTGGTCAAAGATGCAAATGTGAGATTATTTTAAGATTAAGAGATATTAATTTCAGCTGTAAACCACAGTACTTCATAACTGCCCATAGCTTTATATTCTTTTCTTCCCACTAGAAATGAAGATTACTTTTTTCCCACCTTGCAAATCATTTGCCAACCACAGTTTAATTCTACACCCACTCCATTCCATACTGACTATGGATTTGCCATAGTTTTGCCACAATAAATAATGTTCTTGGCTTTAATTTTTTGGATAAAGTTTTGAGAAATGTCCTATAACTGTGTCTTAAAAGCAGTTTCATTTTTTACCCCAAGGTAGCAGCAATTTTAGTGCCATCTATCCAGCATTTTCCAATCTACCTGGGTAACAATTCACAAAATTCTCTCTTGGCTTCCTAAAACTACAAATACATAGCTGATTTACACATAAGCTGTACATTTGCAGTCTCAGTTCTAGGATAATGTCAATAAACTGAGTGCTTCTAGGGTTTATACCTTTATTTTTATGCATCAAGTTTTTCTGCATCTTAATTATAAATTTTAACATATGAGATAATGGAATCAGAATGATGTGAAGGTTTTTAACAGTGAGTGAAAATCTTTTAACTCCCTCTATCCCAGAAACTGATTCACAAGCAAATTGGTCTTATGTTCTGCTTGATTTACAAGCTGCTTCTTTTGAAGCTTTCTTTTGGAGATTCAGGTAATGTGGGGAATTGAAATGTAAGATATTTGAATGTTTATTTGTGGGTCAACTGCATGTTTGGTATTGCATCCCTGGAAGTTTTTCTGCTAGTATGGCAATAAATTATTGAAGCAACTGGGATCATATCTACCTTAGGGTTTGCACTTGAATTGCTTTTATGCTACAATACTTTCAAAGCATACCTAATTCCACTAAATCACAACCTTTAGTAAAGTGCAATTTCTAAGGTCTTTTTTTAAAAGTCGCTGGTTGGTGTGCCCAAAATCTTGTATATATTTAAATGCTAGCATAGCTGGGTGATATCACCGTTATTAATACAGCTTGGCGCATGACATGATCCCAGGAAGTTCAGTTTTGCTTCAAGGCTGTATTTATTCATGCTGCAAGTAAACATTTTCAGTTGTAACCAGCAGTGAAGTCATTCTCGGCATAGGCATCCTACATACTTTATTATTATGTTTCTGGGACTGTTTTTGGTCTGCAAATTTGGATTTTCACACACGGAACTGGCTAAGTAAACATATCTAGTCAAGCAATCTCTTAGGTGTTGTTATGCACCCAGAATATCTTGTTTCCCCATTCCCTTCCTCCCACACATATCATTGCAATGAGACACAGGAGGAAAACAGAAAGTCAGCAGTAATTATTGCAGTCCAATGCAACAGTTAAGCAAAGGAGCTTTAGGCATATTCGCTGCCTTGCAAATGGCTGATCCCTCACTGAAATTGATTGAATCAGCAAAAAACCCCAACCAGACAACAAACAACACTCTAACTGTGATGCTACAACGTAAATTCAGGGATAAATATGTTTTAATCCCAAAGATGGATTTCTCTAGAGGTAGAAACTGTCTGGAACAGAAAGCAGATGTAACTATTCAGGATAAGTGAGGTGTCTAAACATATCACTCTGGCTCGACAGAGTTTTGTTTCTTGAGTCGTTTCCACCAGTGTTTAAATACCTCTATCCTCACCTTTGCATTATAAAAGCCAACAGAGGAAATGTAATTGTAGGAATGGTATAATTCACCCTTTGAGTGAGCCCTTGATACCAGGACACTTCCCCTCAGCTCTGCTCTGGTAGAACTTGCAGTATGAGTAATGACACAGTGAATACTGTGTATAAAATAAAGAAGTTAGTTTAGAGCCACAAAAGCCACTGTTTCTAAGAAATCAGCCCAAACTACTTCACAACCTTGTCATAGCAACGTGCTTCTAATTTTTCCATTTCTGTCCCCTTCCCTGGTCTTAACTGAGTTCTGACAGAGTAATTTCAGTTTACTGTAAGAGAGTAATCTTAAATATCAATTATATCATTATTTCCAGTTTACCAGTAGACTAAAAATGCTAGTAGTACAGGCTATTCTATACTACTAGCATTGTAGAATAGAAATATACCATTTTCAGTATAGAAATTACATACCCGAGACATTTCTCATTATACCATCTAGCTTTGTGTCTCTGCCCAAGTATTTTTGTATGGTTATTTCAAACAATTAAAATTCATGCATGTAATCAGTTAGAACCAGAAGGAATTCCATAATTTCTCTTGAAGGAAGTTCCTTTATTTTTTGATTTTGTTACTTCTTTAAAAATCATCTTATCATTTGCCACTACTCAAATCACTTCTATGTTACATTCATGCCATGTTTACATCAGTTGAGGTATGACATAGCAGCATTAAACTTTAAATTTCTTGTCAGAAGTTAAATGTTAAGATGCTAAATGTTAAAATGCAAATATTCATGGTTTTAATTTGCATTGCTTCAAGCCTGACAGGCACCTGCCTGCTCCAAACTGCCCTAGGAAGTATTTTTCTGCCACTTACCTTAGGAGAAAGCCCTTGGTTAGTCTCTTAGAGCATTGCAGAAGGAGCATGCAGAACTGCTTGCTGTTATTTCTCAGAGATCTCTCTTTGAGAGTCCTAGGACATCTTCTTTTTTTTCCTTTTTTTTCTTTTCCCCAAGAGCCCAAGCATAGATGTGGTACACTGAACGGGCCTCTCACTTCTATGCAGCTGGATGCCAAGATCACTCTGTTGAAACTATTCATGCACAGTTTAAAAATCATCAGATGATACGATGGATGATAGGATGGATGATAGGATGGTGCCCCTAGCCAAAATTATCATGCAATTATTTTAGTCAGTGGCGTCTAATAAAGCCATTCCCCCAAGGCTTAATCTGTATGGCAGCATTTTGTGAAGTCCCTATGTCTTGTTTTAGTCAGTTCTTCGAACTTTACACCTCCACCCAGCTCCCAAATGGAATTTTATTTTGTAAAATGGCTAAATAGGCAGCCTTTACAGTGCAATAGAGTCTTACATTTTCTTTACATTCCATTAGTTTAGCTTTGAATCAATGCTCAAGGATCGATCGGTCATGTCCGATTTCATACTCTGTTGCCTGGTGAGTTAATTTGGGATGTGTTAGACTGAGCCTTTGAAAATGGAGGCCACAGGAACTAAGACTTGAGTCTTAATTTAGAAACACAGGTGTTCAGCACAGTAACCCTTCATCAACTGGGTTGAATAGCCGCCCTCAAGCCCAGATCTGTGAGAGACAAGGTTTAAAAAAGGAAGGCGAGCTGTCAAAATGGTATTTTGTGAGAAACTGGAGCCACCAGAACTGAGTTGCTGATTCTGAGATCTTCTACTCCCTACTCCTGCCCATACCCAGGCCTAAATTTTATGGAAATACAAAATACTCATTTTTTCCTCTCTTGTTGTGGAACTTCTGGCCCTTTTCTTCCATTTTATAAGACACACGTATGATTTTTATTTCAGACTCCTCTCCCTGAAGATACTCCTACAAACCAGTGGCCAGTTCTCAAATGACAGTAGCCTCACCTCTTCTTTGGAATGATCTCTGATTTATGTACCATTGCATCCTTCTCTCTCTCTCTTCTCTCTGTACATGTCTCCCTGAAATTCCTGTTTGAATAAGCCTTCAAAGCCCTGCCCTGCAGCAGACGAGGTGGCTGCAGAAGCTCTCCTCTAGCCTCAGCCTAACACAGCAGATGTATGGTTTATGCAACATTACAAACAAAAGCCTTAGGGGCAGTAGGACTACAATTCTCATCCCCAAGAGATGCATTAATATTCATCCAAACCACACAGACCTCCACAGGCCTTTCTTATCCATAAACTCTCACATACCTGCCATTGCCATTTTATTTTCATGTCTCTTCTTTCCAAATCTGGTCACCAAGTCCCTAAAGCTTTTCCTTGCTGCTTCAGCTCAGACCATCAACTCTCTGTGCTGCCTCATCAGATGCTGTTGACCTGACACTTCCAGCAGCTTCCACAGGTGTTTCTCAGGAGCACCCTCTTCACCTCTGCTGGCTGTGAAAACTTGAGAAAAGAACAAGAGCTGCAGCACCTATGACGTGTCCATCCTGTCAGAGTTGTTCACTGCAGCAGCAGATCATTCTGGGCCCAGCACATTTCTGTCCCATCTCACCTGCCCCTTGGCAGGTCCAGAACCACAGGTTGCCTACTCCTCTCTGCCCTCAGAGCAACCTGGTTTAAGGTTTTGGTTTTCTCAGGGGACAGGGCAGGTGACAGTGGGCTGTTCAGGGACAATTTTTTGCATTTCTGCTTTTAGCAGCAGGATAATTAATATTGTTAAAGGACTGCTCATACAAGATTGTTAATGGACCACATAATTAATTGTGCATGAAGGGGAAGCAGGGTGAGGGCACAGGGATGGTGGTGTTTGCATTTGGAGAGAAGCAAGCATCTGTGGTGCCTCAGGACCCCTTGCTGTAAGCTCCTGCCACAGACAGAATCAGCCTACAGTGTGAATTGACAGCAGGCTGTGTGTGGATGTGGTGGGAGGGAATATATCCTGCAGATCAGAGATGGGACCTTGGCCAGTGGTGACTGGAATAGGCAACTGCGAGAAGCAGCACAGTGGGAATCAGCACATCTTCATGCCTGAGCTTCCTGGACCAGGAGTGACCTCCCTGCTGGGAAGCAGAGACCCAAGGAGCACAGTGCTGGGGCAGGAGCTGATCACAGCCAAGGAGGGTGAAAGGTCTGGTCCTGGTGGTTATTCAATAAACCCCAGTATCCAAATCCAGTATGGGGCATTTATTCTGTCTTGTGTGTGACAGCAGGATTCTCCACCTGGGAAGGGGTGATCCTGGATGTAGGTGTAGACTCAGGAATGAGAGGCTGGAAAGCAGATCCTTGTAGGCTCCTTCCAACTCAGGATATCTTTTGATTCTAAGTTAGAAGTGCCAGCTAGTACAAAGTAAGTTCTTCTAGCATTAGATCAAAATAAACTTTTCATAGCATTGCAGGTTTTGATATTCATGTCAGGGACTCACACATTTCAAAAACAGAAGATACATGTGGGAGCTAATAGTAATCTTCCTATAACACAGACAGCAGCATGTCCTTGTACAAATACTTCACAAATCTGACATCACAACAAAGCTACCAGTACAGGGTCAAAACCACTTCGAAGTGCACATGCTTTCTGCAATCTCACCAAACCCATCACAAATTGGATGTGAACAGTGAGCTGGACAACAGGCTGCAGCCAAAGCAATACTGGTATGGGCATAACAAAATGCAAAGATGAGACTACAGAATTTTAGCTTTAGCCTAAACCACTAATCTGGTCTGGTATACTCACTGTCTAGAAATACCATGGCTTATTTAAAAAGTCACTTCACTTGAACTTTTTTACATTTTACTACAGACAAATATTACTGTTACTACTGGTACTAACTCTCTCCTTCCAGAGCAGGTTACCTTTCACAGGAACCAAACAGCCACCCCTGAAACTTTATCCATCTTTCCTAGCAAAGCCAATTCAGCTCTGAAACACCCCAACTGATTTCACAGATTATTCTAAGAAATCCTTATGAATGTTCCTCAGCATCCTTTATTACTGCTGCTTCCCTTCATAAATACAAATTGCTAAAGATTATTCTGCATCTGGTTTTAGAGTGAATACAATGAGAGGAAAGCCTTAATGGGAATAGCTATGTGTTGCTGTATTGACATCTAAGACAAGTGTCCTGTGTTAAGACAACTGTCGTATGTACACCTTTAGCTGCCACTAGACTTTGCCTCAAAATTCAATGCCCAATGCCCCATGATTTCACTATCACGCACATCTCCATGAACCCCACTCCCTGAATTTAAACTCTGGAAATTTTTTGAATACTCACATCCATTAAACAGAATTCTGTAAAAATATGTGTGTTGGATAGAAGTAGACCTATCCTTCAGTAGCAAGTTGGGAGTAAGAATCTCAGAGAACCACCAGCTACACTCTTCCAGTGAAAGGTCTTGGACACAAAATGGTCTTCTCCTTTGTAATATTCCACTCAACAATAACCCCATGTTTCCAGAAAAAAGACTGAAGTTGTAGGTCCTGTTTCTTAAGTGGCTTAAGGGTTTTATGTGGTTTGTGAAACTCTCCAATTTCCAGTCACATTCACCAAGAAACAAGCAGTATGTACTCAGAGCAGTGATTACAGCACAGCAGCAGCTGACAACTTCCATGTTTATTGGCCAGAACATCAACATAGCTACTCACTTATACAAACTAAGAGAAGTAAATTTTAATGCTGCTTCACAGCATGTGTAGCTGTCAAGCCATTAACCAACAGTTCTAGAAATATTTTGATTTACCTGAGGTTTCACAAAGTAGACTGTAGAATTACATACAGTACATTTGGCATATACGTATCAAAATTCTTGCTGGAGAAATAAATTACAAACAATGGTACAAAACCACTCCAAGCCAACCTTTGTTCAACAAGAACATGTGTGTGAGTTTCAGAGTTTTATTTTTTGTATTGCTCTTACAGTAAGCAAACTATTCAGTTTATACAAAATAAACCTGTAGTTTTATATACTTAAAAAAATCATCTTTGGCTAAACAAAGCTCTTTCTATTTTTATACATATATTTATATATATACAAACATCAGATATTTTACATGACCACATAGGAACCTGTACACATAGATACAATAGAGAGAACATGAACCAAGTTTCACACTTTACAAAAAAGGAATCCAAGTCAAATTCAAAACAGACAAACCCTTCACCTATACAGGTATGAAAGTAAGTAAACACAGATAAGGAATAAACAACTTTGTAATAATATACTGCCTGCCTTTTTTGGCACAGAGAGGAAGCACTTAAGTGGAGAGAAGTGACTTCCCTCAGTGCCTTCAGTACTGTGCACATGTTAATCTGTAAGCATATGGATAAAAGAATACTCTTAAGAGAGTTTGATTCTTCCACACACATGAACACTTCTCTGCAAACTGACTATTCTGAAAACAGTTTTAGTCAGATTTAAATCTCCAACAAATTAACAATTGTCACAAACATTTGCTAAGAACAAGCACCGATCCCCCACTGACATTACCAGGCACTGACAGCAAAGCATGGAAGGTGGGATTTGATAATTGAAAGCAAACATTTCAGAAACAAGCACAAAAGATGGAAGACTGCCAGTACTGACATCACCACCCTCTCAAGTTGTTCCTTGTAACACTTTCCAGAGCACTGCCTAAAACAAGGACAATGCACTGTTTGGCAGCATGACAATCCATTCCATAGGTCACATGTACAATACTCCAAAGGGGTCAGTGACAACATCACTGACAAATTATCTGATGGTTTATTAGAAAGAGAAGTCTGTCCCATTAGTTGGAGAAGGAACAAAAAACATGCTGACATTGAAGAAATGGTCACTGGACTCTGAAAAAGAGCCAATTCAATCCAAGTTGAAAGGCAATGCACTTAGGTGAGGGCTATTAAATGAAATCTAACCGTATTCAGCAGATGCTCTGACTGAATAAAGACTACAGTAATTCCAATCCTCTGTAGAAAATAAAACCTCAAAAATTAATGAATTGATTAAACAAAACCCCTTGCAACTTCCAGGGATGTTTCTCAGAGAGAAGAAAAAACAAAACCTTTTTAGAAATTTGGGATAAACAGCAGTATGTATGAGATGTGTGTGTAAATATATATACACACACACACTTTAGCTATGTTCTAGTAAAACTGGAAACAGTTATAACAGATTTTTTTAAAATAGAACATAATGAATTTCTAATGCACTAAACAATTTGTAAAGATAGATGCAATTGCTGTCAAAACATGCCAAGTTGACAAGCTTTTGAAAACTGCTTGTTTTTATTGAAAAGTTTTGCTTCTGGTTAGTAACTACGAAGTCACATTTTATGAAACTGTAAAGGTCTGTTTCTAAATTAATTTTTAAAAGAAAATCACTTCTCATTTAATTTTTTTTAACAAAACAGAACGTTTATTATGTTGAAGACCTAAACAAAATACCTTTTCCAGATATAATTTGGAAGAGAAAAACATAATGGATAACGGCCTTTGCAGAGGAGCTTCCATGTAAAGTAAATTTACGCCACCCTGCACACTGACTGTTCTGAAAAGAGATTCTGTTAGATTTACATCTCTAGTAAGTAAACAATTGTCACAAATGGTTGTTAAGAACAAGCTGCAAGATCCACCTCTTCCTGAGCAATAGAATTCAATTACTAGATAAGCAACTTTTGGAATCATCGCTATCACTGCCCTCCCTTATTTTAAAAGAAAAAGACCTCACTTCTTAAAATATGTTCCACAGTCACCAAGATGACCTACCTGTCATTTTCCAGGATTATCTACCAACTGGATTCCAAAGCACTCTTACTTTTTAAGATCACAGTTTGACAACAGCACACACAGAACTTCCAACAAGTGAAGCAAGAGCCATCACTCCCACTCTTGCCCCTGTCTCCACCCACAGAACACCTTTAACTAATAGGGGATAACCCCCTTGAAATGATACTGCCCCACGTGCAGTGTCAAAGCCCTTTCTTTCCTAGTCATTTGGTTTGTGAAGCTCCCTCTGCATTACTCTGTTAAAGGAGTTCAGAGGAAAGTCAGACAAGTAAATACTAACAGCGCACTGGATTCACCAAGCTCGGTATTCTGACTTGGATACCTCCCCATAATCCCACCATATGAATGCAGTGGCTCCAGTCCATCTCTGCAGGTAACAGCTGAGCCCTGTGACCATGGTTTGAGTCTACTTGCACTTGGATTTCTTGAACAGTTTCACTAACTGCTTGAATCTTTCTGAAACCTAAGAGAGGACAAGAAAAGAAAGACATATCATTAAGGCTCCCGACTTCCATATCTACCAAGACAGACTGACCTGACATTGAGGTTTTTTTTAAGACCACCACTATTTGCTTCCAAGAAATTTTAGTAGCACCATTAACAAATTAACTGGATTGAGGAAGTCTTCCTATACCTTTCACATTTGAAATAGCTTCCAGGTTAATCAAAGACAGCTAGAGCCAACACAGGTTTAACACAGGTTTCCCTATAAGAAGGAAGAAAAAATGAAGGCTTCAAAGCCAATTAGCCTTCCAATTTGCCACACATAACTATGAGTAAGATGCAAATGTAAAGACAAAAGCTTATTTTGTACTCCACAAAAAGCACCATTTATTGGTTATTTCCTACCCTCTTGCTTCAGGTATTTTTTGCTCATCATGGAACAATCTGCCTGTCAGGGATTTTACATAACTGGTCTGTAGATCCGAGTAAAAGGCCTTTTTGCTGAACATAGCTACAGCTGAAGTAGTGACCTCATTCAGCTCTAAGCTACTACTTTTTATTGCTGTATATATATTGCTATAGCATATTGATCATCCACCAAACTAACTGGGAAGAGAGGCATGAATGCACAGATAACATTATTTTATCTAACCAGCCATCCCAACAGCTTCTAAACCCCACAAAAACTTTACAACCATACAACACGATATCCTAAAATCCAAATCCCAATCATGCAGGATTTCCTAATGAAGTCAAATGTGTTTCTCCCTTTCTAGATTTGCACAATACATATTAAGAGAGCAATTCAACTCAAGTATACAGTTAGATGCAAACCTCTGGGAATATTCTACATTAATTTGGTATCTGCATCCTTTGAAACTTTTACATTAAAACGTGAAAGGAAAAATAGAAACGCCTTCATTAAAAATGTCCTTTCTGCATGACCATGTTACTTTTTCTCAGCTTTAACTGAATCTTTTTCTAATTTGTTAGAGGTGTCCAAAGACTTCAGGCCTCTCAAAATTGTCTTTCTTTATCTAAGTGCTAATACAACAACAGAACAATCCTGTTGTACCTGGATTATGAGTGGAGCAGTTCCAATGTACCAGCCAAACAGGTACTTGGGAATCCCCATAATACCCCTATGTGTATTTTTAAGAAGTAACTGCTGGAAGAATCTAAGATTATTTTTTTCAGGAATCTCTCAAAAAAGACATGAGGAAAAGAAAACTACAGATTTGCAGAAGATCTCCGAAGATTTTTGTTCAACTGTAATTGTAAATGTAGGAATGCTGCTGGTAATATATACAAGAATCATCATCACCTACCTGATTTGGGCTTTTGTTCAGCCTAGTGGCCAAGGAAACAAAGGTTTTGCTTGATGGTCCTTTTCTCTGACATTCCAGTAGAATTTCTCGGTCATCATTTCTACAGCAAAAATGCATTTTTAAAACATTAATATATATAGTTGTGTACAGGTATACAAACAAAATAATACATACAGGTATATATAAAATTCAGAGTATTTCCAAACTGCAGAACATGAGTTCAAACAGCAGGAACAGATTTGTGAAGGATCTTTTCCTCTACCAGCACAGAGTAACAGTCAGTATGAACAAGTGGTAGTGGAATTTACATTCCCCTGCTAGGAAGAGTTGGATTGTTAGAATAGAGCTAGCCCCAAACCAAAGCCAAAGAATTTTAAACTTCTAAGCCAGATATTTAAACTTGAATTGAAAGGAACTCAAACTCAACAGAGGTCAGCGGTTCCAGCCTCAGTCTGTATGGCTGAACAGCAGCTTTCACCTAAGGCCCACTGACGTTTGACTTCTCTAAGTGGCTTAATGTAACAAACATACTCAGAGCACATCTACGGCTCACATGAGAATAAAAAAAACAGGAGTCTATTCTGAAGTGCATCACCAATTTCCTGTTTGTCTCATCAATGAATTTAGGCAAAATGTGTACAGACAGCAATTTTATTGGGCTGAAACCTACCATACTTCAACAAATTATATTTATTTTCTTCAATTTCAAGGAAAAATGTAATAACTAATCATTTCAAGAAATGTATTTTTAAAAAAATATAAACAAAAGTTAAAAGATAAACAAAAACTGCAAAACTGAAAACCTGGTCATATTCATACAGAAAACTGTAAGTCTCTTTCTACCTTATTGATTTGCACATTAAAAAACACATTAGCTTTTGCTGTCTTTTTTCTGTAAAGGAACTGATTTTCTTTTAAAATGCTACCTAGAAACTTACTATATCTGAACTATAGTTTAGGAAAGTCTGCCCCGAAAATTTTAGAAGCCCCTTTATAAAGTGTTCATTGTATCAAGTTATAGCAAGAACAGCAAACCTTCCAACTATAGTTTCCTAAAACCAAGAATACACCACAATAATTTTGCTTGTATTATTGACACGTACAGCCATCTCATTTGTCACCCACATCCTGCAAATCAGAATATATTGAGTTGAATGGTTGATTGGTACATTTACACATATTGAACAGCTCAATCTGTATAAACCAGAAAACTGCTCGCTCTCATGCCTTCCCTCAGAGGGGGAAGTCTTTAGCTGTTCTTCACAGTCACCAATGCCTTGTAGGAACATCAAGGACCTTCATCCCCTACCCAAGCCTGGCTGGAATTTTTGGACAGAAAAAATAAACCGAGCAGGGGAGATAATAAGTACATAGAGCAGGTCCTGTTACCTCAGCACATAAGTTTTCAAAACAAAAGCCAAAAGGAGTCCTGCTTTGGGAGATGTGGATAAGAGATGGACATCAAACTCCTACAGCAATCCTGCATTGATAAAAGGAGGCTCCCATTCCCCTTTTTAGAGAAGGGTGAAGAGCTACCAAATAACTTTGGTCATGAGCTAAATACCCTTTTCTTCCCTCTTTTCAATGTTTCAGATAGTTTTAAAAACACCCAAAGTAATCAAGCAGATCAAATCAGAAATTACCTTGTCCAGGAAACTACTACTTCTCCTTTCTTTTTAATGATGTTTTTGGCATAGAGGCTAGGTGATGATGGAGATGAAGCCAAGGGAGAAGAGTCTTTATTCTGCTGGTCATTCTTCTTACTGGAACATTGCTTGGGTGATGAATTTCTATCTTCAGTCCTGACATTACCTTCATCACTCCCCTCACCTGCTGATTCAGTTCCTTTTCGTTGCCTTTTTGAATTGGAATTCTCTTTGACAGTCTCTTTTTTCCTTTTTTTGTTAGTTTTATCATCTATACTTATCTGACACCCTCCACTAGTCTTTGAACTGGGTTTTGTTTCAAGATCACATTCACCTGCTACAGCCTCATTAGAAAGCTCTTCTGTTAGGTCTACAGATGCATCAAAGCACTCTTCCAGTTCTTCCTTTTTATCACTGACTTCTGAGTTTCCTGTTGAAGTTTCCCGAGTCCCGTTATCTGCTCTGGATTCCACTGTATGACACGAAGTTCCACTAACAATACCATCAGTTGTGCATGACTTCATACTGCATCCAGCAGGAAAAGAATCTTGAGATCTAACATGCATTTCATTTATGTTTTCAGACACTTGCAATTTCTGTGCCTCAGATTGCTCAGGGCCTTTATCTGGGCTTTCAGTGTCATGGCTCTCTTTGTCTGAAGATTTTCTACAGGTTACAAGTGAGCCAGTAGTTTCTTCCTTTCCAATACTACAGCGTGACTCCTGCAGAGGCTGAGCTAAGGTAGGATTCTGGTCTCCTTCAGTGCTGACGTGAGGTAAGTGATTCATCTTAACCAGATCTGGTTTGACAGTTTCTTTCACAGTGGCACTCTGGCTGTCCTTTTCTTTTCCCCCAGTTCTCATTTCTCCTTTTCCACTCTTGGCTGAGGATGCTTGTACCTCCTTCACTGGAGCCATCTGATCAGGTGCTGATGAAGGAGATGGCACTGCCCTCCGAATTTTTACAATAAAATGATCATTGGACTTCTCCATGATTACTGCTTGCATTGGTAGGCTGGGGCGACACTGAAAACCGGGAGCAACAGGCCGACTTGCCCACGACGATGAACAACTCGATTTACTGCTTGAGTTATCAGATTCTAAAGCCAAATGAATGTCTTGTTCAGTGGCATCCTCCTCTCCAAGAAGTGCATCTTCGCTGTAATGCGCACTAACAACACCCTCTGGAGCTGAACTAGAATTATTCTCAGGTTTTAGGAAGCTGAGGTGAGCATCTGATTTCAACGGTGATGGAATCGTTAAGGAAACAGCCAAATCTTCAAGGAGGATAGAAGAAAT